ACGAACTGGTATTAGAGCGGTATGCTGCCATACGTACCAAGGTACACCAAAGCATCCTATCGGTATGTAGAGGTATACCACCGCTCTACTGGTTTGGATAATATCTTATTGGTATGTTGGTATGGCTTTCGTATCCACGTTCGCCAAAAATCGTCTTATGTCTGGCACGAACCAAAGTTGTCCAACGAAGAACAGCTACAGCTATCGAAATCGATCGTGGCTCGCTTTTTTTCTCGCTAATATTTTATTAAACGATTTATCCCATATATATTTTCGTATATACCGTCTCTCCCTTCCCCTTTCCCTTCCCCTTTCCCTTCCCCTTTCCCACCGACCGAACTCTTCTTTTTCGGTTCGATCGATCGAGCTCTAACAAAAAAAAGTAAAATTATGCATAAAACGAAAAGTAAATAATCGTAACGGCGAATAAGAAAGTTTTCTTCTCGAAAGTCCTCGGTTAGTCTCGCAAATTCTCGTTCTCGATTTCTTCTTTACTTTTCTTTGTTTCTTATTCTTCCCTTCGCACTTCCAGCTCTCTTCCTATTCGTTTTACTTCGGCAAAATAAAAAGAATTTGATTCAAGATTCGAAGTTTCTGTGAAAATCCGTTTTTCGCATTACCTACTCGCTGGTCAGACCTTGGGAATTTTCCGATTGGTATAACCCTTCGTATCATCCCCTTCCTCGCCTTCTTATCTCTAACCCTGTCCTCTCTCTCCTCTTCTCTTTATTCATCCAGTATATGGGAAGGAGCTGAAGTTAAAATCGATTCATCGTGAGACCGGATAGATTTCTAAAGCCTAGATTAGCGTGTGTATGTGTATGCGGCCGAGTGTGTGTGTGTATTACATAGTACCATAATACTTTATTAACTTTTGGATCCATCGTTATATATTTTTAAGCGAATACAGTACTCTCCAATATATGTATATACTTTTTCATTTCACTAGTATTCATGATTCGAATTCATCAAGAAAATCTTCGAAACTTTATATGAGCTAACGGGTGATAAAACGAGAGAGAGAGAGAGAGAGAGAGAGAGAGAGAGAGAGATGTAGAAAGAGAAAGAAAGAAGTTTAATCGATTTAACGGAGCATCAAGCTACGAAATTCACGCATCTCTTGAGCCATCAAAATCAACGGTAAACTGAGCGTATTAAAGCCGAAACTCGTTAAATCCTCACGAGCCATACTTTTAACGGGAAAGATGTTATAGAAATTCTCTTGATCATTAAATTAATTCATTATCGATTGAAAATATTTCTCGAATTTCAAGAAAAAATCGTCGAAATTTTTTCATTTCTATCAATAAAAATTGGTCCATTCATAATATGACCGATTGCTCGCTCATTTTCTATACTGATTGTAAGAAAGCACAACCTTTAACATTTATCATTTTTTTCTTTTTTGTACGACTCATCCCAAATAGACAGAATAATCTACAAATGCAACGAAGTATAGAGATATATCGTATTTCCTCGACGGATTCAGGATAGCTTTCACATTGCTCGTTCCTGTGAGTATTGGCACTGTGCAAGACGATATAGGAAAAAAAAAAATATTTCTATCTGTAATAGCGCACCCATCTACATTCACCTCTCTATCTCTACTATGCAGAGCTACACGAACATATCTATCTGTCTACCTCTGTGGGGCAATTAGGACGCGATAATTCCTCTAGGAGAGATTATCGAGAGAAAATAGCGACGAAAAGCTCGTACCTCCGCACAGCTTTACTCGGGTGACCGCAATGCAACGACGTAATGCGTATAAATTCATTCACACACTCCTACTCTGTATGGTGCATTAAAAATCAACGAATGAATAAGCACGCTACGAAAGCTTTTCGAATGTAACGAATGTAACAAAGGTGCATACATGGCTTTGCTTGTGATTTATCAATAGGAATCATTTCACATATATTAATATTACAAATGATATAGGATCCTATCTGAATTTATATCTTCTTTTTCATTCTTTGTTTTGTAAATAAATAATTTCAGCATATATGTACAATAGTTATCTAATTATATTATTAAAATTATCTAATTTCATTTAAAAAAAAAAAAAAGAAACAAATCTTCTAAAGAAACATATATACATAAATACAATATGATTGTTATTATTATAACTGATAAGAATGAATTATAAGAATGAATTAATAAGAATCGAGATGAAAAAAATGTTTAAGCGCATAACGTCCTTAATAAAAATATCTTAATAAAAAAGAAAAGAGAGTTCGCACTATATACTTATATATATATATATATATATATATATATATATATATATATATATATATATATTATATTTGAGAACATTCGGTATTATAAGCAAAATCGTATATGAACATGGGTGTATGCAGAAGCGAAATTCCAGTCGATTTGCCGAAGCGAATACGACAGTGAATTTACAGACAAATTATGCATAGTATATAGACTAGACAATGTATTCGCCCGGTGGATTATTCTCACTACAACCTATACGAATCTGAGTAATCTTTCGTGCGCGCATTTCCACTCTGTGTATAATCAATTATCCTTCGATATCTTTTTCACTCATATACACATACATAGTCGATACGAGTTACATCGTTCGATCAACGAATTCAATTGCAATCAAGATTCGGCCATTACTGATGCGTTTATGTTTATTAAGAGAATTCATGAAAATAAATCGATAAATTAATATTAACAGTATTAAAGATAATTCGATCATAGTATCTTTTTTGATAAGTCAACAAAAGAAAAAAATTAAATTGAATAACACGAATGGTATCGTACAAGTAATAGTTTTTTAAAGCAACCATAGAATCACGTTAGCAAAGATCCGAGGCACCTGTTGATAGCCCTCGTTAAAGTTTGAAGGAAGTAACCTGGGCACTGCTGGACACGCAAACCAAAAGATAGCTAAGTAATACTCCAACACGCGAAAAATAGTGCCACGTGTATCATTTGTCAACCACAAACTGATCAGTTGATCTTTAATGCCATAAATTAACATCAAACTGACGAATGAGCAAGTACAAAGTTGAAAAAACAAATGTTCCTTGTTCCGGTAATCCAAGTCTCATGTATTATATCAACATGGAGTTATTCTTAAATCAAAGAATTATTGGACATTCTGACGATTCATTTAAGAAAAATTAAATTAATTCAATATCCATACATATTTTTTATATGATATGCTGTTGATCTTTAAGCTTGTGAAATGTAATTCTCTCAAAAAAAAAAAAAAAAAAAAAAAAAAAAGAAAAGAAAAAAAATTCTCAAATGAAAAAAAATTCTCAATAGAAAAAAAAGACGAAGAAAATAATCGATGAAAATCAAAGAAGAACAACTAATATTTCGGTCATCATCCTTGCGACTAGAATAAAATAAATAAATCGTGTCTTGGTAAGAGAAGCGAAACAATGCTACATTCCGATAGACTAATAGACCATCGAGAATTCTATTTCTGAAACGCGTTGGTGCAAGCCGTCGTCAGCGTGACTCAAGTTGTGTCTGATTGTCAGCTGTCCATGCGAAAACGAAACAAAACGCCATTGACATAGATTTTCATGACACGAATATAAACGTATGTGTTCATATGTGCATCAACGTATATACATATCAACATATATACGTTAAATAAATTTGTACTTCCGTTGATAATCAGGCAAAGAAATAAGTCGTTATTTCTCAATAAGTTTTACGTTAAAAAATAATATAAACTATCATTTATTATCTTAAATCATTGATAAATGAGAAGCCGTGCGTACGTTCGTCGTCTGTTTATTCATTGTTACCTTAAAACGAGGCGATCAAGCACTTTGACTTTCCCAGAGAGATTTTATCGACTCGTCAATAAAAATTAAAGGAATTCTCCAAATCGAGAGAGTACACATCTGAGGAAATTAACGGTATTGCTTCTCTCTCTCTCTCTCTCTCTCTCTCTCTCTCTCTCTCTCTCTCTCTCTCTCCCTCTCTCTTTCATCTCTCAAAGTAATGACCGAGCGCATGAAATTTACTTCGAAGAAACAAATGAAACAAATGAGAAAGAAATGACTTTTTCGAAGTGAACTCGTTTCTTTTCTCTATCTATTCATCTACACCTCTCATAGAGAATAATGATAGCTAACGATTATCTAAAAAGAAAAAAAAAAAAAAAAAAATAAAAGAAACGGAAAATAGTTCTCAACTTTTTTCTTATGGAATGTCAGTTCAGAGATACGATATTTCGATCGAAACTAAAGAGATAATAAATATAAACTAAAAAGATAAAAGAAAAGAAAAGTACGCGGATCGACCGTGATAATTAGAAGAAAAGAATCGCTTCACGGCTTTTAGAAACGATGCTTTCTCCGGCAGAATTTAACAAAGCGCAAAAGCCCTTCGGGATAAAAGGGTCGACAACGAGCTCCGTTAAAATTATCGCCCAGACTGGTGCTTGCAGTACCTTTAGGCGCTTTGCACAGAGCCAATTACTTTGCTAGAGTTCAGTACGTTCGTACCCATGAAACGTATACGGTTGGACATGTATTTGAGAAGGGATTCGTATTTTCAGCAAGGAAAAAAGGACCTATCAATCCAGTGACTTACATTACTCCAATCTAATTTAAACTACGCTCGATTTATTTTTATCAGCAATTTTTTTACGAATGTCGCTATTTTTAATATTTTTCCATTATGTAAATTCCTTATATTTAACGATGACCCAATTACCAGGACGATATCGCGATATTAATATAAAGAAAGCGAATCGTATATCATTAATGTCACATAAGAATGAAAATAAACGTTTCAATCGGCGAAATATCATTAAATAATATTAATACGTCGAATATTTAATTAACGAATGGTTAATCTCAAAGTGATAGAATTTAAAGGGAGAAAAAATTTGTTATCCTTTCGTTCGCGGGAAAAAAGAATGATAAGCGAGATAAGTAACAGGTGCAATATCTTAAAGTTTTGATGTAAGGAAGGCATAAAAGAGAGAAAAAGAAAAAAAATCAGAAACTTACCCCAGCGTAGTCATCGTAACGATGGTGTACCAGAAGGCAGCAGGTATCGAGGTGAAGTTCGTACCGTCAACGTTCTTCTCCGCGTAGAACATGACGGTGGCGAAGATGATGATGGCCATGGCGAGGGAGAATACAAGAAAGCCAAGTTCGGATGCGCAGGACTTTAGGGTGTAACCAAGAATCCTGAGGCCCTGGGAGTGCCTGGAGAACTTGAAGATTCGGAATACGCGGAATACGCGTAGAGTTACGAAAGCGCCGGAAACGTCGTCGTTGTCGGTTATACCAAGACCGATGTAATAGGGCAGTATAGCGACTACGTCAATGATCGACATCACCGATCGCGCGAACTTGCAACGACTTGGCGCGGCGAAAAGCCTGAGCAAGTATTCGGCGGTGAAGATCATGACACAGGCGGTGTCGAGGCAGAAAAAGACGATCTTGTATCGTTCGCCGCATGAAAGTGTACCCGCACGACCAGGTCTATTGCCGCATGGCACGGTTTCCACCACGTTCGCCAGCACGCTCACGGCGATGAAGAAACCGGTAACGTAGTAGAAGACCAATGCCGCGGTTGAGATGTGCGGATTTTGGAAGGCTCGCCACATCTTTTGTCTTATATCGAGCAACTGCTGAAGATTCTGATCGCCGTTTTCGCTGAGTTTGTCGTCCATCAGACGTTCCGCATTTTCGCGTTTGCGATCGCGATAATCCTCATAACAGCAGTCGCCTATCACGTCCGGTAGGATGCCGAAGAAAGCGAGCTCCTCGTCGTAGCTCGTCAGACATTCGTGTTTCGGATAGTGGAGCTTACCGGTTCTATAGTAATTCAATATGTGACGAAAAATGTCCGGATCGCGATCGAAAAAATACTCCTTGCTCTCCTCGTCGTAAAAGAACTCGCGCTCGTTCGAACCGAGCAACGTGTCCGGATATTTTTCGAGCGTATTTCTCCACGTCTCGAATCTACGACCGCTTACGTTAATAAGGAGCTTCTCGTCGTCGGCTTTGCGACGATCCTTCGGTATCGGCGGCGGTGGCAGTGGGTGTGTGGCGATCGGCACCCAACCGATCGCCGCCGCACGGGCGAATGGCAGCCACGCTGCCACCGAGGCCATGCTCGACGGTGGAATCTTTCTTTTCTCTCTCTCTCTTTCTCACTTTCTCTTTCTCTCCTTTTCTATCTCTCTTTTTCTCCTCTTATCATCTATCACCTGCAAGTATTATTTCTCGATCTCACCAAGATCGCATTTAATTCGAAAATTCCTTCTAGGATCTCTAACGAAGCTCATCGTATGCTCGAGGCTGCTTCTCGCTCGGCGTTTCTCGTTCGCCAAGGTCATCGACGATGATGGAAGCGCCCGAACACTGGCAGTACTCTCTACTCAACGGCAAACCTCTGCCATCGATGACGAGAGTGACATCGAAAGTGACGCCGACCACAACGATATCACGATTCCCTATCCTATTAGACTCGAGATTGACCTCGAACCTCCACATCGTACCACTGCATTCCTCCTCTCCTACTTTCTTTCTTTCTTCTTCTTCTTCTTCTTCTTCTTCTACTTCTTCTTCGATCTTCACGCCGTCTAGGCGTTAGGATCGACCTTGACAAAGATTCGTCCTTGAACGACACAGACTCAAACAGCTAAACTCTCGAAAACACTGGAGGAACTCGTCTTCCAGCATTCTCGACACGAATCCTTTCTTCGATCGCTATCTTTCTCTTCTCTTCTTGACTACATTCTCGAGTTAACGAGCTCGCAAGCTGCGATCTCTTCCCTACTTTCTTCTTCACCCTTCTTTTTTCACGTAAAAGTAATAATAACGAAAACGGACGACATGTTGGAACGAGATGTCCTTTGATTCTCAGAGTTCCATCGAATTTTCGTTAGGACGAAGAAATCTTTCTTATATAATATTTATTATATATTTTTTCAGTAGGATATCGCTTGTGATAATATCACTTCTCTCTTCATCTCGAGCTCGAGCACGCTTTCAAATCGTACGATACGTAATGTTGTTTAATATATACGTAACGTATTCTCTGCGCGCGGAACGCCGGTGCGGCTGATCTTGGCGATCAGCCGAAAAAGAGCGGCACTCTTGGGATCATCACCGATAAGAAGAAAAAATCTCTATAAACCATGTAGCATTGAAAAAAATTCCTGACCGATATATGATTCGGCGCGTCTCGACGGATAAAAAATGTGAAGAACAACGATGAAGGACGGCGTCGGGTAGTACGATAAAAAAAGAATATCAAAGGGCCCAAACGTGTGTTTAAAATTACGAGAGCCCTTCTTTCTCTATCTCTCTCTCTCTCTCTCTTTCTCTCTATTCCTTTTTATTTCTTTCTGTCTTTCTTTTCCTTTTTATCGGTCTTTCCCACCGTTCGCCGTACAAAAAGCAACGAGCTTTCAATCGTATCGTACTAGAACGGAATGCGCGCAATATTCCTCTCTTACTATTGTCGGAGCTTTTTCACATAATTAACTGTATCGGCGAATCAAAGAAATATATTGAAAGATATTACGTGTTATCGCGGAAAAATAATAAAAAGTAGAAGAGCAATTCTCTTTCGATGGCGCGTTCGAATTTATCGGGCAACTTCTAGAAGCACTCGCGTGAGCTTCCAATCTAGCGAATCCCCGGAGGTTCACTCGACGATACGTCGTCGTCGTCGTCGTTGCCTTTGAAGAAAGCCCTCGTAGGAGGAAAACTCGATGGCGCACGTAAAAGGAGAAGAGTAGCAGCAACAATAGCAGCAGCAGCAGCAGCGGCAGCAGCAGCAGCAGCAGCAGCAGCAGCGGCGGCGGCGGCGGCGGCAGGAGTGTCGTCGAGCTTGAGTCCGCTCCCGACGCATGTCAGAGCTGAAAGCTCCGCATGCCCGAAAGCATCGTGAAAACGTTCCTCCTCTTTGTCCTCTCGACGTCCATACGTATTTCGTCGCGTCGTCGTATGGCGTTTCGATTCGAAAATTGGTTGTCCGCGTCACCGGCACGTTTCCGTCTTGTCTCGTCTCGTGTCGTCTCGTTTCGTCTCGTCCTTGTCTCGTCTCGTCCTCGTCTCGTCTCGTCTCGTCCTCGTCTCGTAGTCGTCTTGGTCACGGTCCTTTCTATTCGCTCTCGTGTTCTAATCCTCGCCGTTGCGCGTTCGAGCTCGCGCTCTCGGAAATGCGTGCTTTAGTGCGCGGCACGATCGCAAGCACGAGTCTCTCTCTCTCTCTTTCTCTCTCTCTCTCTCTCTCTTTTTCTTTCGCTCTTTTTCTCTCTCCCTTTCCCTCCCACCCTCTCTGTCCCTTTCTTTCTCTTTCTCTCTCTCTTTCGCTCTCTCTCTCTCTCTCTCTCTCTCTCTCTCTCTCTCTCTCTCTCTCTCTCTCTCTCTCTCTCTCTCTCTCTCTCTCTCTCTCTCTCTCTCTCTCTTTCTGTAACCCGCTCGAACGAGTTGACCACTCGCGACTGCCGAAGCGTTTCCGAACTCGGCGAGCTTTCGGTGCTTGCGCTGCTACCGCTGCTGCCGGTGGCGCGGCACAGTAGTGGTTGACGCTGATGGTAGCAATGATGGAAGCTAAAGGTGGAGGGAAAGAGAGGTAGAGAGAGAGAAAGGGATAAAGAGGGAGGTGGTAAAGCCGCGTCGAGCTCGACGCCTTGAGAAGCGTGCACTCGCCTGGCCTCGCTTCGTGACGACTCGACACGGCTTGACTCGTTTCAAACGACGAGCACGTATGTAGTTTCGAGCCGATCACTGCTAGCTCGCTCGCTCCTCGCTTACTTTCTTTCTCGACCCCTTGCTAGCTGGCTATCTAGCTAGCTAGCTAGCTCGCTCGCCTAGCCGACGTCTAAATTGATTTTTACGGTGCACCGCCAGTGGCGACGCGCTACGGCCTCCCAAAGCGCCGGACGACTCTCGTTGCCCGGGCAACCCCTTAACGATGACGTCACATACCACCCTCTTGGCAACCCTCTTTTCACCCCGTTTCTCTTCCTCTTATAACTCTCGCTAGTGGCTCCCTCGTCCTCACCAATCTTAACAACACCTTTTCTCATCCTTCTTCCTCTTCCTTTTCGAGAATCCATCTCACGTGCAAAATTGGATATCTTCTTTCTTAAATACTCATTCCTTCCATCATTCTTCTTCCGAACGCACGTTTGAGCGAGCGGTCTCCTTTGCAACTGACATTCTGCATCAGACAGACCAATTATTTCTTGACTTCATTCATTAAAGGAAAAACGTGACGAGGAGTAATAAGATTTGATGACCATTTACATACGCGCTCGTCCTAACAATGAGTTAACTTGAAATGTAATTTTCATAATGTAACGCTCCTTATATTTTACCCATTAACTGTTTCCGCAGAACGGAAAATTTCTCTCTCTCTCTCTCTCTCTCTCTCTCTCTCTTTCTCTCTCTCTCTCTCTCTCTCTCTCTCTCTTTTCTACGTCCCTTTTTTCTGTAGAACGTGATATCTTTCAATTTTCTTTATTTTTTTAAGCGCATTCGTCTGTCAAACGATATACTTAAAAACCTCCCTTTCTTCAAACATCTTATCCATTAACATAGATCGTTATACAGTTTAAAATTAGTCCTTTAAAAACTAATTCCTCGAATTTACATTTTTTACGTTTTACAAGCAGCATGAGTTCGTTCATTAGAACACTACCGTTGGTAATGCTCTCTCTCTCTCTCTCTCTCTCTCTCTCTCTCTCTCTCTCTCTCTCTCTCTCTCTCTCTCTCTCTCTCTCTCTCCATTCCTCTTTTTTCTTTTTCTTTCCCTCCTTATAACGGTGTCACTAAGAAAAGCAGGTGGTGAAAGACGAAAAAAAAAGGTGACGTTGGTATATCCACGTTGGATGACTGAAATCAACGAGAAGAGCACTGAGCTTCGCCGCCAGGTAAATTTGTGCCACTAATGAACGTGCGAAAGAGTGCAGCCTCAAAATGTGAGTGTACACTCCGCAACAACGTCGGTAACGTCCCCTCAAAAGTACCGTTGCACATTATTACAGGCTACCGCCGTTTTTTCATCCGTCTTTCTTCATTTTTCTAAGCGAGATATATACGTCATTTGACTATGGGCTCTTGGTGGTAGTAGAAATAAAAAAAAAAAAATATATATATATATATATAAATATACAAAAAAAAAAGAAACAATACTACTATCGTTCTTATTTTAATGTACAATCGATTATTTAAATGAGAAGATATTGTAAATGTATTGTGAGAACAGACTTCGCGAGATGTAAGAAAAATTCTAATATTAATTAATAATGATTGTTAGGGCACGTTTTCAAATTAACAATTATAATTTTCGTGAAGAAATTCGAAAGAGTTGATTTTTTAATTACGCTTAAAACGTGCAATTACCAGTTCCTTCGCGCGACCATCGTGCTTCGGTTTGATCTTATTCCGGTGAATAATTTTCTGTCCTTAATTTTTCCCCGATCTTCAAAGATAAAAAATCACGAAGTAAACATAAATGACGTAAATAACGCCAAAAGCGTAGAGAATTTTTCATTGGACCAAAATTGCTTTCGAAGAAACATTCGCGGTTACATATAAAAAGATGCTCTATATGCCTATAATTAAGGACCACATTAGAAATTATTTTAAAACTCGTGATATTTATGTAACTACAACGTTAATTGAAAAGAGGCCAAAGCTTAGATATATTTGGTAATAGCAGTCGCCCATAAAGTCGCTTTTTAATGCTTTGAGAGGATGTAACAATTGAATCAAAACTCGTAGCCAAGTATTTTTATTTAATTAATTTAAAGCAAGACTAAAAGAGATAAAGAAAATTAATATCCTACTGACAATAGAAAAATAATTTTCCTATGCGACCGACATTTTTTAGAAGAAAAGTGTAAATGGATAATGGTCGTTCTAATTGGCCACTAGGTACGACGTTGCCAGCTGTCGTGCGATTTTGATTTATACGTAAGATATTTTAACGCGTTGGATTTTTTAAATAATTTTCGTGCGATATTGTAAGTGAAATTTCAAGAGTAGAAATAATTTATAAACGAATTAAAACTTTAACAAGTCCTTGCATATTCCGCATAATCTTGTTCGCTAGTACAAGTAGGATTATATGTATGTAGATATATGAACGGCCGGATGGAGGCCGCTTAAAAAAGTCACAGCGATGTAAACTTCAACTTTCCTGCTTTTTATCTTTCATGAGGATTCAATTACACGCGAATAAAAGTGAACGAAAAGTCGGATTAGGAATTAAAGTCGTTGTGTAAACTCCTTGTGCAACGAAAAATAATGACAAAGAAATGACTAGATTTACTGTTCAAATTGTACATAAAGACGATTTTTATTTTTTTAAATACTTTTTGGACACCGATACTTTTTGTGGTATTTTCAGCTTATTTCTCATTTTTTTCTTATATCTTCGCAAACGTCGAAATGCATTCGATTCTTTCATTCTCCCCTCGTGTACGGATATGACACGACGCGTCGATCATACATATTAAATACTCGTCGAACTCTACGAAAGATTTCTCATTATTTAACTTGAAATTTATGTCAAAACGTTTTTGCCTATTCCAATCTATGAGAGCAAGAGCAAGAGCAAGACGATATCGTGATGACGGCAGTACGGCGGAGGAAATGTAGGCCGATTATCGAAATAAAAAGGGACGGTAAACTTTATTAATAATGATCTATACGAGATACCCTCTTCCCCCAAAGCTCCTTCCGTCCTTCTTAAATCTGATTAATCATCTTACAATTCGTAGTATCAAAAGAAAATGATGGTCCGTCGACAATCGCGAATAATGTAACAATACATATTACACCTATACTATTCTAGAAAACATCACTAGAAAACATCTATCGTAAAGCTCGACACTTTATATCATAATTATTTTGTACATCGGTTATATGTACGAGCGTCGAAAACGGCAGCGCACTGTCCCGCCCTCACTCTCTTTTTTCAATTTTCCCAATTTTTTTGGATTCATAAAGTCAATATGTAACGACCAGTAGATCAAAGCGCGTCGAAGAAGTTGTTTTCTTCCTGATTTTTTTTCCTCCTCCTTTCTTCTTAATCAGACTCTCTTCTCATAGATCTTTTCTTCCTTTTTCTTTCCTTCCTCGACTTCTTTCTTCCCTCTCTATTTCATTTCGTAAATAGCGTCATTAACGCCAATAATTCGTGTCAGCCGTCGATTATGAATGACAACCGTTAATAGCGTAAGCAACAATTATATACACATTAAAAAGCGTCATTACAATTATCGATTACGAGTACTCGTGGATTACTAAATTACATGCCACATCCAAATACATCGTTCGCTCGCCATCTTACAAGACTATATAGCTTTTCATAATTTGTGCATCTTCGAATAAATTGACCATTCAAACGGATACGACTGCTTATTCCTGCTCACTGAACCGGTCGCTGCATCTTTTGTCGATCGATCTTCGTTGCAACGCGTCCTTTATTATATATATTTGATATATGTATATCTTCGCATACCATCGTGGCACAAAATCGAGAAATATCGTTCCTTATATCATAATAAAGATTTTAATTAATTCGCCTTTTTTCTCGTTTAGAGGATGTATGATCCAGTATCGTTGGATTATATTAGTTGCATTAATTAAATAAATAAAAAATAAATGAAAATAATAAAAAGGAAAGAAAAAAGTTGACTGTCTATAGTATTTAGCATGTTGGATGTATATAAATATGCATACACGTATAACTTCTTGAAATAGCATTCCACATGTTGGTAAAATTTTTTTCTTTCGAGCCTTCGATCGATATTTTCGCAGCCTGTACGCGAAACGATTGCGATCGTTGTTTCATTATAAAGTATAGAAATATTTGCCAGCATCGGTGTATATTTTTTATATGTTTCATAAAGATCGATAAATGTGTTCGTCAAGAGGTAAAGCGGTGTGGGGTGTAAATTTTAACAAATATCTCTATGTAAATGTTATTCGAAAAATTCGACGTTTTATCGTTTCATAAAATAAAGATTCGTAATCAGTGGAAATAAAAGAAAGTACGATAAAATATTTATATTAACTTTTTGCGTTAATATAAACTCGACAATTAACACCCAAGACCACGCAACCCATTTTCTTTTTTTTTCTTTTTTTTTTTCGTACATCTACATCCACATTATACTTCATATAACTCATTCGCAAGCACACTAATCACACAGTTTTCCATTCTTTGTTCGTATTGTTTCTTGTTAACTTATATAGTACGATTTTAAAAAGTGATTGCGTCTCAATTATTCGTTAAATATTATATTTAAGACATATCGAAGTTTCAGCAGCGTCGTCAGTATAAAATTTCATAACTTCGCGCAAATTAGAAATCCTATACCTACTAATGCTATATATAATACGTTTAATTTTTTTTATGTATCAACCACATACGATCTAAATGCGATCGCTTACCGATTTCGATTTGATGTCTTCATGAATGAATCCGAGAATTGTAACAACGTGTTTTCCGTCTCACTTTACGTGTTCGCTTTTTTCTTTTTCTTTTTTTCTTTTCTTTTTCTGTCTTCCTTTTATACATGATATATATCTCCTGATAATAAAACCCAAAATGCAAAATGATCATCCTTTCGACGCCCGTTCGAACTCGCGAACATTAAATTGACGATACGACGCAACACGGAGTTGCATGGGAAAAAATAATTTATTAAGTAAATTATCGTTCCGCGTTTTTTTTTCTCTATCTTGGATGGAACTATTTGGCAAAGAATTGCTGAAACTATGTATCAGTGATACCATACAGATAGACAAAGCGGAACATATAGTGTAGGAAACTTTTAATCAGCAGAGATTCCCATCGTTCATATACAATAATAATATAGCTATTGATACAACGAGGACAGGGTTGCGTCCATTTACACGTTATGTATAATATTATATTTATATAATATGTATATGGATTATTTACAAAAATCGTTATAATTTATTATAACGACGACATTTATAAATACACAAATTTTCTGGAAAGAAGAAAAACATACTCATCGAAAGTTCAAGACTTGAAACAGTGCGACATATCTAAATTGGCGATCGAATGCAACTACGATTTGCATGATGCTCGTTGTGATCGTAGACTCGTTTTGTTCACATTATAAATACTCCATACGTCTAATTGCAATCTAACTTGAATAATAAATCAGATCGTTTTGCAAAAAGCGATTAAAGTATATGCTTTAGGCCGACATACGCATCGCAAAGCGCAGTCGTCGATATATCGGAGATGAAAAAAAAATCGCATCTCCTTACCGTAAGAAAACCGCTTTGCGTGCACTAAAAAAAAAACGATTCGTACAGGAATATAATAATAATAATAATAATAATAATTATTATTGTTATTATTATTATTATTATTATTATTATTATTATTATTATTATTATTATTATTATTATTATTATTATTTTGCGTTCGTGATTAGAAGAAAGAAGAAATAAAAGAAGAAACAGATCGTCGAAAGATCGAAATCCATGAGGAAAAGTGGACGCAAACGCTTCTTTTATTTAAGTTTCGACGTTCGGCGCAACTGTACAATTATAATACATTCGCACATCATCAGTCCACTCTATAAATTAAAAAAGACGATCTCTATTCGTTCGTTTCCATGTTATCACAGGCAACGACAGTTTAACATTTAATTTTAATGGGACTACGCTTATATCCCACAGTCTGTACGCGTCGTGATTGAACGTCCAGTTGCAAGAGATTTATTAAAGCAGAATCCTAAACGGATATTATCGTAAAAAAGTGAGTTTGCTTCAGTCAGAAGACAAGATGATGGCGGAACACGCACCGAGAACTGATTTTGATGAGTATAAATGAGTATTCGCCAAATCTTTTTAAAATATTAATGATCGCTAAGATGAATGATTACTTTTCAATATTATCTTATTACTTGCGATATGCAGTGACCATTTATGGATATTTAATCATGCTTTTTTGATCTCGTGCGTACCAACTACACCTTGCTTCCTATCACAACGTTATATAATTACGTACATACGAATGTATAAAATTTGATTACTACTAAATGGGAATGTAAGTACGATTCGCTGTTTATTAGGTGTGCTTGCGAGACATACACGCACACACATTTATAGAATTATCATTAACAATGTTCTTTTATAAATGCGACGATGCGTTCGACAGGCGTATATTTGAAGCAAGCGGCCGTGTTCGCGATTTCGTCTTGCAAAAAAGATTTAACGTGTCTTTTAATATCGCGGCCGTGCTACAAATTCACGTCTACGAATTCAAAATTAACAATAACCATCTCCGACGCTTTTTATGCAAATTTTTTTTATATATTTCGAATTAGAAAAATTGTGCTAATGTTGGCATTCAATGAGCTTAAATTCTAATTTTAACGGTATTTCATTCTTTTCATTCGCTTTCATATACACTTAAACGACGTGCAACTTCGAAATATGGCTCGCCAAAAAGGTATGATTATTAAAATCCTAACATACGGATTTATTTATGGCACATTTGTAGCAACAAAAAAAAGGCATAAAAACAAAAAGAAAAATGATTCCAACAATATTATAAAATTGTCAGAATCAGCGGATCAATTAATAATTATTCTCTGTGTTCCATTAATAATATGACCAGCACTTTGTCAAATACGTAAGTACATATTTAAGAGATTGATACGTTTCATTAGCTACGCTGGCACAAAACATATTTCTTAATAAACAAAATTAAGTCTATTATTCGATCTATCTTCCTTTTTAAAAGTATTTTTCTATAGTTCGCCTTGGTTGTTCGTAATTTAATATCTTACATTAGTATATTTCTATATACACCTCTGTTCAAAAAAATCGAATAGTTACCTAGATAACTTTAAATCTATTGAAGAACACCGCTGTATATCTGCTTTTTTTTTCTTTTTTTTTTCTTTTTTTTTTTTTTTTTTTTTTTTTTTTTTTGTAATTTTCAAAGTCTGCCTCGTATAAGTATATTGTTAACAATTTAATGCTCTCCGTATGACATTATTACTGCTTATTTATAAATTCCGTAATCTCATGTAATATTTCGTTTTCAATTAGACGGAATAGATATATGGATTATATCACCATACAGCTTATTGAACGCTACTTGAAATAAAATTTATGCGATTGAAAATACCATTTGAAAAATAATTTTTATAGAGCGAAGTAAAATTATTTTTAGAATGCAATCGAAATGACATTACATGAAAACGTTGCATTTGATACTATTACTGGCAAAACAAGTCATATCTAAATAAATAATGCGCATAAAGATTATATAATTATTTTGCTTAATAAAGACGCGTCCCCCACTTCCCTTTCGACGAATATCAGTTTCTTTTTTTTTTTTTCTATGAAATTAGTAAAATAATTCAATATGATACTTAAACTACATGAAAAAGCAACATCAATTTTGACATTACAATTATTTGATATTATCAAATATCAAGTCTTATATCTAATACGTAGTAATAAATACATCGTTTTGGATACATCCAACATGATACATGCATACTGTTATGACACTTGGATTGACATAATTACTTGCATTATTAACCGATGTATAAACAGCCGTCTTAGGATCATCATTCGATCATTCCGCTCGGTCATGTATTTTAAACAATATAAATGAAGATTTAAATAAATTCGGTCTTTTATGTCGCATACTTAAATTAATCGTATTATGTATGTACTACGTCAAAACAAATATTATAAACTATAATGAGACCAATCATTCTGCGTAATTGTCACTGATAACATGTTAGCATGCATCAGGCTCTTTTAGAAGCAACAAGTTCTGAGGAGAACTATAATATTACTTTTTAAATAGATTCGGTTTTGTTTACACAACCAAAAATTCCTGCAATAACATTTTGCACTACACCATTACGATAGCCTCTTCTCCACAAAAAAGAAAAGGATATTGATCAATCATTGTTTGCACAACATCTTCTAAATATGGCCTCATGGCTTCAAATCTGCCAAGGTCATTAAATTCTATTGGTAATAATGTGGGCCACCAGCAAATGGCCAAATTTTTGCTGTCCATACTATTTAACTTGCAATTTTCTGCCACTCTGTAATCGCATAAATTATTAATCACAGGTAAATAGACATAAAAAAAGATATACGTTAAATATACAAAATAACTTGAAAAAGATCTTACTTGACAAAATGTTGAAATATGAATTTCAGTACATCAAAGTTTACTGGATTTAATTTATTAAGCATCAAACGTAAAGCTAGCAGTCTGCAACTACGATCTGGAACCATAAATATATTTGTATTATAGTATTCCTAAAAATTTTATTTAACAATAAACCGTAACAATAACAATAACAATAATAATAATGATAATGGTAATAGTAGTGATAATAGTAGTGTTAGTAGTAATAGTAATAGTAATAGTAATAGTAATAGTAGAATAGTAGTGATAATGATAATGATGATGATGGTAATAATAATAATGATGATAATAATAATAGTAATAATAATAATAATAATAATAATAATAATAATAATAATAATAAAAATAATAATAATAATGACAATAATAATAATAGTAATAATAATAATCATAATAATAATAATAATAATAATAATAATAATAATAATAATAATAATAATAATAATAATAATATTAACATTAAGATAAAGAAAAGAAAGAACAAGCAATGTTTGTTCTGCATTAACCGTATTTTAGAGAAGCATAATAATTATGATAACAGTCACGTATATTAATATTCCAAAGAAAAGGCGATACTAACCTTCCATATTCATGCAAGTCGCTGACATTGGTTTACTGATGCCACGTGCACCTAATATAAGCACACACATAGCTCTACATTCTCATATCAAATAACATTTAAGTATATTTTTCTTATGAATCAACCAATCGTTTTGTTTTTTATAATATTGCTACAATTAATTACTCACCCGATATATCTTCGAGTTCGTTCATGCGCTCTTTATCAATGAGTGGTGGTAACCTCTTAGAAAAGAAATCTTTTAAAGCTGTTGCGACTGCATTTACAGGAATGTCCAAAGAATGTATATCCACATTACCATCTATAATTAATAAGAATTATATTTTGTAGATGAAATGTATTTCTAATTAAAGCATTTCTATTAAATCTATTGCATAAGTACCTTCTTCGAACTTCTGAAAAAGAAGTTCAACGTGCGCTCGATTTCCAGGAACTCTATATATCCCTTCTGAATCTAATCCTTCGTCTTCAATGAACCGTACACATTTCTCCAAAAACAATGGTATCCGATTAGTTTCGCTTTGTGCAAAGTCTTCTATCACTGGTTGTTGTATTTGACCTGAAATTGGTGTTCCACTAGGTCCTTTTGTTTGCTTTATTTTCTCCTGCTTTTTCTTTTCCCTTTCTTTTTCTTTCTCTGCGTGTTTCTTAAGTTTCTCTTCTTTCTGCCTACGTTTTTCTAATTTTTCGTCTTCCTTTGCTTTCTGTTTATCTTTTTTCCGTGTTGATTTGTCACCTTCTTTACCTTTATTGAGTATTCCAAACTACAAAAATATAGTACATATAAATATATTTTTATATTTAAAGGTAACAGATGTTTATATTGCTGCTCTTTACTTACACTAGGAGAATTTATTTCACGCGGAGATGAAACATCTAGGCTCGATTCATCATCTGTGTAACGTTATAAAAATTATTAAATTAAAAATTTGTTTATAATTTCTTTAAAAATAAACAAAATGAATGAATCATAAAAATTACTTACAAGAAGCACTAAACATATCTTGAGCCATATGTTTAGTATTAAAAGGATGTTGCAATGTTGCTGCTAAATGCTGTTGTTGTAATGAATTACCAAATCTTTTGCGTAAACTTGCTGCTGCATGCTTGTATTGCTTTGATCTGGCCCTTGACATTTGTTCTGGATCACTTGATTCAGAACTATCTGGAGTTTCACTAGATACTGATCCATAAAATGAAATTATTATATTATTGCTATGTATAGATTATTTATATAATATAATGTAGAAAAGTAAACGTACCTCTTTCTGCAGGATCGATTCTCCAATTTTTATCATCTTTGAGATTATAATTCATTCCTACAATACCATCTCCACTTCCCATACTTGCCAATGATGGCACTTTTGGAGTTGCAACTGGTATAGGAATACGTTTCTTACGTATCCTTTTATGCGTTAATGGTTTCTTATTTACTTTTCCTAAAGTATCCACTACTTTTTGTCTTTCTAAAGAACTCCATTCTGAATCAGAATCACTGTAAGCTATACATAAATAAAAAACATAAGTACATGAAATATATTACAGCTATTTAATGCGTTGTCATATTCATGTATTAAATGTATTAAACTAATGCTTACATGGTTGTCCTTTTTCACGTCTATGTCGTAATTTAGATTTGTTGTTTCCAACAGAATCTTGCACTAACGCATACATATAGTCACCGTCGTAAGTAGAATATAAACTAGGAACAAGGTCTTTCACCTGTGCATATTCAGATCCGAGATCTACCAATTCAGGTGTAGCAAGAGGAGCATGGCCCAGACCTACTTTAGGACCATGCTCATCTTTTTCACCTATTGTCATTCTAGCTATAGCGTCTGTTACATTGGAAAAATCTTTTAAATTAATTTTTCCGGGTTGCTTTAGCGTTTGACTATTTCCTTTTGGCCGTGGTTTCGCTTGCGAAATATGACGTCTACCTGTTGTAAAAGCTCTATGAGGATAGCTATTTGTTACTCCATCTTGATGCATAAATGTTTCTTTAACCCATCCTATATGAATAAATAATGTACACATGAATGTCAAGAAATTCAAGATTAGCTCTATTATCGATATACTATTATACTTCTATAATACTAACCGGATAATTTGTTAGTAATGTCTCCAGATTTTAACATCTCTCTTTCCCTTTCTTCTCGATAAAAATCAACTTGACTATATATATCACTATCATCACTTGGACTAGCTCTGTTATCAGCAAATTGTTCAGTCAATCCCGGATCTCCAAGATCACCATCCGGCGTTAATTGTTCATACGACTCTGAGCCACTTCTGAAAGTTACAGACATACTGCTTCACATTAGATTTGTGAATTATAGAAAAAGTATCATTTATACAATACTTTAAAAGGTTTGAGATTACTTACCCATCATCTGGCGTTTGAAGATGATAGCTTTCATGTCGTGGTGGTGGCATTGGATGTAGAGCAGAGTATTCTAATGTACCCTCACCACTATCATTTAAATTACCAGGTTCCTCCATATTGAATGCTTGCTCAATTTCTGGTTTTTTTTCCCACACCTCTTTAAAAAAGGGCGTATAAAAAGCAGCTGCAATCATAAAATCAATAAATTTACATTTTATCGAAAGTATATAACGCTAATAATAAATTTATTATCTAAAGAAAATTATACTTTTCTGTTGACAACTTGATGCAGATGTCATGAAGTGTGCTTGTAATCTATCTGCGGTTGCATTTCCTTCTGTGATAAGCAAATGACTCAAATCATTACTGAAGAAAGCATTGGCACCTCCAGTATCAGTCACAGCCATAATTTGTATTGGTAAATTGGGTATGTTCATAGAAAATGCACTGAAAGCAATTTCAATAGATATAATAACAACTGTATAATAAAAAGCGAAAAATGTTAAATCAATAATATAATACATACTTAAGAGTTGCAAGAGATGCTTTTCTCTTTGTTGAATAAACCAATATGAAACCATGTACAAGTTCGTCTCTAAATGCATTTGCTCCGTGAAAACTCGAAATAATAACTTCAACTCTGCGTTTGGATTCCCCCAAAAATGTTTCCAATACAATAGATCTATCTCCACTGAGAAAACAACACTGATGACTGAGTAAAGGTCCAAGAACATTTTCCACTGAATAAGGATCTCCACAGAACATACACATTATTATTCTGTAATAAATAATTTACTTGTAGTTATTCCACTTTCCTTATATATACATAGAATTTCTAACTTATAAAGCTATATATTTAAATTATATTATTTAATAAATTACCTAATGTCTGGTTCTAAACATTCTATAACACTTTGGTAAATATTCAAAAATCCAGCTCGATGATTTATAGATTGTATAAGTTGCTGTAGAGCATCTTTCACCAAAGGCGTTGGGAATCTTTTATCTTGTTCTAAATCATCTATGCAAACATCAATAAAAGGACACTGCAAACTATATCATAAATAATAAATATCAAAAATAAGAATAAGCAATCTAATTTTTCAATGGAATTAGAAAAAAAACTTTTCTAAGCACATATACCTATCAGCAAGATTTTGTCCTTCTTCCCTGAGTCGTATTGCTTCTATATCATCAATACTTGATTCTGGTAAAAACATAATAACAATAGGTAATCCTTGAAACGGTAACCTATCTTCTTGTTCTAAATTTGAAAGTAATGTTTTCTCTAATGACGAACGAATGTATTCGAACGAATCCTCATTTGAATATATACAAAATGATCCTGCAATGATAAAACATCAAGAAAATATTTTAAATATTATTGATTAAATATTATAAGATTTTTTATTATATACCGTGTGGCATGAAATCTGAGGTGGTAAAAGAATTGTGTGGTAATCCTACATCACCATCAATAATCCTATATCCCAAAGTGTATAATTGGCAATCAATTTCTACTTCATCATCATCTGTTTGCGCTCTTATTTCCCGAGCGAATTCCTCACCAAGACCGTTACATCCAAGTATAACTAGATTCAATTGATTGTTATCTGATGTTAATTGCCACTGACTACTATGATTCCAAGATGAAGGTCTACAATAATATAACAATATTTTAAAATAAACTTTAATTTATAGAAAAAATTATTATGTGATAGAATCACTTTACCTGTGGGCTTTTGTACCAAGTATCCTTTCTATAAGAGCATCCATGCAATTTGGGTATGCTGGACAATGTTCTCTTATAGGACAGTGAACAAATCCTAAGTGTTGGAACAACATCAACTTTCTATCTTGATCCAATCTGTCTAAAGCTTTGTACCTGCACAATAATGTTCATGTCATAACAATAATGAATGATTTCAACCATAAATTCTTCAGTAGGAATCTTAAAAGATATATTTTAATTGATTATTAACCTAAAATCATCTAGTAAAGCGTCCGTAATTTCTTTTATATCATCCTGTGTAATGGTTCCAGAAGGTGCTATGCTTTTGAAGTGATAAAATAAATCAGCATGTTCTAACAATAACTCCTGCGAAAAACAAAAAAATACAAATATTTATAGTTAAGAGATTTTTAATATTTATGATCAATACCAATATCAATACATACTTGAAAATTATGTTTTGCTTTTTCAATTATTTCTTTTTGATGTTGGTCATATATTTCCTGACAATCATGATGAGAAAGAGCTTCAAAACATTCTCTACCCATAAATAGTACTCTAACCTCAGATAATTGTTTTCCAGGTGTAACATAACCAGTTTCTTCTAATAACTGCTTAAACTGTTTCTTCCATCTAATAAAATAATTATACATTATAAGATCCAATTGAATTAAGAGTAATTAAATTGAAATTGAAGATAGCAAAATTTCTATCATCATTATGCTAATTAAGATCTGCTTATAATTATACAATACATAAAAAAGCAGTAAATAAAAGCATAGATTACCTTTTTGGAAGTCTGCACAAAGAAACACCACCCAGAATAAAGCAAAGCATTAATATATTATGGATGAATATTATTGTCTAAAATTCTAAATGATTGTATAATCACAACAACAGAAGCATATACAAAATTAAGCAATGACACGAAGATTAAGAATAAATATATTAGCTTAAAATTTGGCTCAATATTTTTATATCAAAGCATTATTCCACTGTATTACAATACTTACTCTAATCGACGTTGTTCTTGTTGTAAAGCATTTACATGATTTTTAAAAACAGTTTCAGCCTCTGATGTTTCTAAAACGTCATAAGGAATTTTAGAGCTATTATTTTCTCCAAAATCATAATCAATCCAAGGTATATCCTCGGGACACTCATAAAAATATTGATGAAAGTCAGGATGTTCTTTTATACACTGTTGTACTGCAGACCATTCCCTAGTGAACAAAATTAACAATAAAATTTTATTCGTTTTTTTAATTTCACTTAAAAACAAAATTGCACATAAAATAAAAATAAAATCTTACTCATTCATTAAATTTGATATATCAGGACATATCTCATGAAGAACATCTGGTAATACATCCAAGTATCCTTGTATTTTTTTTGCTACCTGCTCATCTTTTAGTTTTTTAATATGTCTTCTAAATAATCTTTGTGTTGCGTCAACTCCAAATAATTCTATGAAAGTTGAAAATTCTTTATGTTGTGCAAGTTTTTTAGATGCTTGTGACCATAGTGCACGAAAATCAGTAACATGTATGCGAATTAATCTTTGCAAAGATTCAGTGGATGTATCTAATAACTCTTTTCTAGCCCTAGCTGCCTCCGCGTAAGGAATCACTTTACTGCGCGTTTTAGTTTTATCAATTAACTGTGCTACGATCATAAAGGCCAGGTCAATATTAATATTTTCATGCGCAGAAGTTTCCACTATTAGTATAGATCCCTTATATTCTTTACGCATCACTAACTTTTCTGCTTCTTTGACATATTGTTCATTTGCATCATCATTTTTAGTTGTGATCAGAACTATAGGCTTTTTTGTTTTCATTAAATTATTTAGTATGTTAGCTACTATTTCAACTTGTTTCTCGATTAATCTGTTAGGCACAACACTTACATCGAATACACACAAGAAACCATCAATATTCAGTTTACCATCTGGTAAAACTTTTTGTTCATATTCTTTTTCAATACCCAATTGATTTTTGCAGATGTACATAAGTTTTTCAGCACTAGTAATTTTAGTTGCTGCACATCTCTTTGCGTAAGGTTCCATCTTACCACCCTTAAAAGGTTGAAAGGATGCATCATCTATAAACTCTGTATGCTCTATCACTTGAAATTGATATTCTGCACCATCTTCAGCAGTCTTTGTTACTTCGCCCCAATACAAAAAGTGATCATTATTCACGACTCTGCCACTAAAATCCGACTGCAAAACATATAATATAATCAATGAACTTATTTAAAATTATAATTCAAAATATTACAATACCTGTGATAATACTGAAATATGGTCCACATTATAATCATCGCTGAGAGAACGCATAAAACGATTACATAAGCATGACTTGCCAACTCCAACTTGTCCTTTATCTTTCTCAGTACCAGAAAGTCCAACAACCGCAATATTTATAGCCTTGACATTATCGCTTTTCCTTGCCATTTTTGGAATAATGTACAGTTATAACACTTGTGCAATTTTTAAATTTGAAAATAAATTTGTTTTTCTCAAATAATGTTATTCAAGACATATTTATATATGTTTAAAAGTAAATGGTATTATAATTGCTTATATTTATTAGGAATTTGTTCGCATATTTTTGATCATAATATTAGATCTACAAACATGCATGAAAATCAGAAGAACTTCCCTTAGGTAACATTTTTATTAATTCTATTACTTTAATTTGTTTTTTCGCACTTGGAACTTATATGTCATCACAATAATGCAATTTCAGATGTAGTATCCAAAAATTTGTATAAGCATGTATATTTAACTAACATTTGCCAAAATTTCATTTGTGCTTTATCAACACAATGTCCTTATTCCAAATTTGCCAGTGATAATGCCATATAATCATTTCTTGATAATGTACATATCTCAAGACTTCAAAAGTTATATATATGAAATACAATATATTCCAACTTCAGTACAATTTCAAGGAAAATTATCTTTTAAAAAGTATGGTACGTAATAGGATTGATGACATATATCTGAAAGTTACAAAAAGAAAAGAATGGATATATCTTGCAATGATTAACCAAGATAACAAAGTAGACAAGTAGAAAAAATTTCACAAAAAAGTAAAATATAATTTATATATGAAATATATAAATCTAAAAACAAAGATCAAACTATAGTGGTGTTTCAGATCAATTATTTTTTTATTCTATTTCAGACCAATTAATTTATCATTCTTAATATTACATTTCTTCTATAAAAATTTATTATAAAGCCCAAGCACACATGAATCAACTCTTTAACAGTTCATTATTTTTACAAACACACAAATAATCTTTAATAAATCGAATATCATTTAAACACCTACACGTAAATGTAATTGAAGGCAACTGTTTTCTTTTCAACTAAAAATAAAATGATGATTGCATTAGCATTCAATAAAACATTATGTCTATCACGTTACAATGTAAAATAGTCGATTTTTTGCCATTAAGATAATTTCGAAAAAAGAAAAATTCTAATATGTTTCATAATACGTCTTTTAAAAATTACACATACAAAAAAAAAATCGAATTTTTAATATCAAAAAGCATAACTGCAACAATAGAAAAATAAATCATTATACGTTGCTGCGTGTCTAGATTGTGAACGGTCCTCGCCATTCGTCAAGCTTATTACGTGCGATCATTGAATTGTTACATCGAAACACAAAAAAAAAAAAGAATTAACACGCGCGATTTGTTCGAAATATGATTGACAGCTATGAATAGATCAATATGCAATGTACACATCCGCGCTGAATTTTGATAGTGACGATTGCGCGTACATACGTTTTTAATATGCTAAGTTACACATAAGTTTGACAAAATCAACTTTAAACTCTTAAGATCGTCGTGTATAAGTCATTGAACGGAAGAAGATTATTTTTATCTTTTTTTTTTTTTCTTTTTTTTTTTTTTTAATACGAAAATGCTTCTTTCGCGAGTACCTTAAAATTGATGTGCTATACTCGCATGAAAGTCATACAGATACATATATTTCTTCGTTGAGCGATCTCACGAGCCGACCGGCCGTCTCGTTGAAACTTTTCTAAAATTCGACAGAACCTTCACCGCTTTTTACCGTTCGTCTACTATCTTGACTTCTTTTCCTGCATACACACCGCACCAAAAAATATCTAACACTTTTCTGGACAGTGTTAAATTCCAGGCGTGTAAATAACTTCACGTCAAACTTCGAGTATTGCCCCGTAAAGGAGCCATCTTGGTGGGTGGGCACACTGCGACTGATGTTTTTAATAACGATAGTATAATATGCTATCCTGGACAGGATCGTAACAACATAAAATTATTTTGACTACTGATTGTTCTACATGAGAAAACAATTAAAAAATCGCATAAATATAATAAAAAATATTTTAATTATTATCTTTTTAAATAAAGTATTATTACGTATTAATAAGAAAATTTTATCGATATATTGCGTAGCAAATAAAAATTAGAAATATATTATAATATTTCAATGAAAAAAGTTTGAATAGATATGGCACAAGATGAACATACTTATATCTTGGGAAATTGATGCTGAAATATAAATAATTGTCAAATAGGATTTTATGGGATTCTGATTGGAGCATTTTATGGGATTCTAATGTAACATATAAGTATCATCCAATTGAGATCCGGTAAAGTTAGCTTTCATCCACCTTCGTTACGTTACCATTTTTTATTTTTCAAAAACAATTTCCTAATGTCTATATACATACATATGTATCTTTTATTAAATTAATGACAAGATTCAATAAATCGTAAATTCAAAAGTAAAGCAATACATTGAAATACATTGTATCATATTAAAGCAGCGACGGTCCTGACTATCAAACGATAGTATCGCCCTCTAATAATTCAAAAAATGCCGATAGTAATGTACTAACAATATTAATGCATTTAATAATTTAGATGTGAAAATAATTTTTATATAAAAAATATATTTTTGACGAACGTGAAATAGATTCTTCATTTTGTGAGAAAAAACGATGAAGTCGATATAATATGTTCAAAACGTATTCTTGTAATAACGAAATATATACACGACACAATATATACAACAAATACATTTAAAATCACGTGATCATCGCGGGTAATTAGATATCCAATCACATTATAGTTTCCATGTTAATACTTTCACTTGCACGGTATTAAGGCTATTCATCACTTCTTGTTTTATAACATTTTACGTGTAACAATGAGTACAGGCGTAATTCTTAAATGATTTTAATGAACAAGGTCTCATTTTAAAAGTAAAGGTTTCAAAAAGAACACAACTTTTCAGAACTTTTGGAAAAGTTTTATTTTCTTTGAAAAAAATCGTATTAAAAATAATATTCTTCCTACAATAGTTTATCCATAAAAATAAAACTTTTTAAAAAATTTGAGAAAGCCATATCCTCACTTAAACCTTCATCTTTAAAATGAGATCTTGTTCATTAAAATCATTTAGAAATTACACCTGTATTCGCTATTGATGTAAACGCTGTTTTCGGCATTTTTCATAAAATAAATTTCGTATAGTGGTGCTTTTTGAATTTTGCGGCAAAAGAGAAGAAACTCTTATTCGCACTACTGATTTTTATATAAACGCTAGAATGATATGTAGTTTGTTTCCGTGAAGTGGACAATTGCTTCCTTATCAGCTTCAAATTTTCTGATTCATTCCAAATACAAAGAAACGCGTTTCGCCATGCTCACACGAAAAAACCACAATAACCTATTCAGGCATTTTAATGAGTTATTGCCTGATGATTCTATGATAAAAACTATTCAATCGTTCATATTAACAATATATAAAATCATGGAATAGCATATAAAATTATTTCAAAATTATAATTATTTAAACGATGTATAACCTACACAGAGTACAATAAATTAATATATAAATAATAATGTACACTCGTTTAAATATTACACAGTTCGTAACATGTGTTAAATATAAAATAATTTCAATTTAATATTTCAATAGAATTAAATTTTGATCTCCGAGTTGTAGACTACATTTAATATCAACAAAAATAAACTAACGTTTAGCTGACTTTGACCTTTATCGATCCATTCTTCTTTCATATTCTGACGAGGAAACATCGAAGCTCTTTCTCTCATTCTAAACGTCTTAGACAATACTTTTGTTAATTTTATAATTATTAATTTATAATGCATAATGTATATGAAGTACAATAAACCAATATTTAAACAATAATACATTCGCTTAAACATTACATAGCTCGTAACATATGTTAAATATAAAATAATTTCAATTCAGAGATACGCTTTGAAAAATTATTATATATTATATTACTGCTATTATTTTTTATGTAATATATGTTATATCATACGTTATATATTTTATCGTAAATATTATCGAGGTAATAGCTGCTTAAATACACTTATTTGTATAAGTTTAACTAGAAATAAAAAGTATAAAATTTATACAATTAACAAACATTTTTCAATTAATCTATCTTTAGAAAAATATAATCTAACAAATGATCTTTTCTTGCTTTTTTCAGATGTACTACTATTTTTTACTATTTACTACATATAAAAATTTCTGTGACACACTCACTCAATCGTTAGGTTATGTGTGAAAGATTTATGACATACAAGCTTATACAACGATATAATAGGCGTATTATATGGGAAATAGTGTTTCTCTACTGCGCTTGTAGTTCATATTTTGCCCATACTTGTCGCTGAAGTCGCATATTATATCGTTACGAGCGATAGGTGGTAAAGAACCTTAAGTCCATTGTATTCAAATTTGATAAATTAGTGTTATAATATTTTTCACTTCTCGATCATTAATCTTGTATAATTTTTAATACGTTCACATATGAAAAAGTTTCACATATTTAGAATACTTTTTATACTATATCAATATTTTATTGACATTTAATTAAAGATTCTTTACAATTCGATTGGACGATAAATTCGTATGATTTTACTAACCATGATTATCAGATTTAATTAAAATAAATGATCTTTTAATAAAGTCATTATTATACATATACGTCATATTTTAGCTCAATATTATTGATATAAGTAACTTATAACCATAGTATATGTATGGTACAATGTAAATACCCTTGATACATTAGTTACATCTAATTTTCATTGTATTCGATAGAAATATTATATTAAACAAAGCTTTAATAACATAATTGACAGTTATTAGTTCCTATAAGATTAGCGCTGTAACTCACTTCTGGTAAGTTGTCAACACAGAACTCTGGTTGCAGTGTCTATAGTTATATATATATTAGTATAGTCTATGCTTTGGTCTTCTTGTATATAGATGTATCTAGATTGAAAAATGGCTGACGGGGGAGATGCATTGAATACGTTATCAGGAAAAGAGGCTAGAAATACCGTCAGCGATGGTCCAGTTACTGATCCGGCTTCAAGTACTAAGGTAAATTATATTTAGAACGTTACGATGTCATTGAAGATATCGTAATTTTTACCCCTCTCACGATCATACTCAAGTTTGATGACTAATCTTATATAGGGATATTTTTGCTATCGTACATTTACAGCTCTTTTAAAATTTTATTTTGATATAATATTTCAAAGATATATTTTTTTCAAAATCAAATATATTATTTGTATGTGCGTGTATGAAACAAATATTATCCCTTAAAATTAAACTTAATTAAGTACTATGTGTCTCGCTTTTTTTTCCTTCTTTTTATTCTATATACATATATTTATGTTTCTTCATACCTTATGTTACGTTTGTTTGTTGTTTCATTATTAAAGTTCTTTTTTAAAAATTTTATTTAATGTTATGTAATTTTGTATTAAATATTGATGATAATATAACTTCATGTTAATTTGTTTGGTCTTTTTTAAATTTTAAAACTTATGTTATGTAAAGTATTAGTACAAAAAATATTAAAATGATATGTAACATTTCTTTTTTTACAATATTATATCTTTCGATTATCTATAATATTATAATATAATACTACAATAATATTACCTTAAGGAGCATTTATAATATTTATTTAATACCAAATTATTTAATAGATATATACCGTATAATATATTTTGAGTTAACTTTAAAAATAGCTCACAAATAACTTTTACAATTATTAATTTTATTTAATTATTGACTTATGATACTTTGTAAATATATTTTAGAAATTTATGATATTATAACTTATATAAAATTTATTTATTGGACAAATCATTTTGCAAGTGGCTATATACGTACATAGAATTATAACATATTTATAAGTGCTAATTAACATGATATTAAAATGTAACTTGAATGTAATATACATGAATTTCTATGATAATGGCAAATGTCTATACAATAAAGAAGAGATGCAGACATGCTATCTATTAATGTTATGCAACATGGAAATACATTCTGTATAGTTAGCTTGATAATTTAAACTGAAATTGAAGACACTTGGTTTAGAAAAAGACTGTACTTGGTACAGCTGTTATACAGCTTGTATAATTCTGAGCTAACAGTTCCTCGAATACTTTTAAGCACATAAGTTGTAATTATTATACTGTTAAATATAAAGTAATAGATTTAAGTACAGTTATATATTCTGAGTTTTTTCTTTTGATTAAAAATGGAAATGTCAGAGAAGGAATTATCAGAGTCAAAACAGGATTTAAAGATTGTATGTAAACATTTTCTCTATAATATACTTCTTATTATAATAAATTTTCTTTGACTTCATTCATACAAATATATTCTTTCTATTATTATTTTAATATAACTTTTTTTATAAAAAATTCATTATCATAAAAAATTTTAATAAATACATTTGTCTCTAATGCAAGCATTTGACTTTGTCAGTATAATAACTTTTAAATATATATTAGCAACTGATATAAATATTACTTATTGCAATTTGAAGATTACAAAAGATATAACTTTTTATTTATATCCATAAAATCCAAGTTTTCATATTTCATTTATCTAACATTCATATAACATTATATTATCTATATCATTAAATTGATCTGCATATTAAAAATAATTTTATTTCTGTTTTCAACATTTAGATGTTATTTTATTTATTTATTTATGAATATAATGTATAAATTTAAAAGCATGTTAGTTGTTACATACCTGTAGTCTGTCATTATAATGCTTTTGTTGTTTTATATATACAGTATTATTCTCACAGTAGTCCGTAGGTTCGGTACCAATCACTCATGCATCGCTCATTTATAAGCCTAGATACACTACATGGGCGTGGCACAGTTCATTCCGAATGAATCTTTCTCAAGTGTAATTGAAGTAATTATGGAATATTTAAAGGTTTTACTGCTAATATATGTATAACAAATTGAATTAATCAATGCTATTCATTAATTCATTATATTGTTAAATATGACTAATACTTCTCAAATACTAACTTTAATTACAATGATTTAAAATAATTTTAATTATATTTTGTAAATTACATTATATTTTGGATTACATTGTATTTTATATAATTTTTTAATTGTATATCAATTTTAGAATTATATTAATTTTGTATTTTATATAATTTTATATAATTTTATATAATTTTATATAATTTTAAATAATGTCATTGATAAGAAATTATTATAAAATAATTTTTTTATTGTACATTAACATTGATTGATGCTTTATTTGTTTAACATATAAAGTATAACCTTTGGGAGCTTTGTACCAAACTACGGACTGTATTATGAAAATCTAATGCATTTGAATCATGAAATGGTGATTGTTGTGATTTCAGAGCCTTGAGGCATCAAATAATGCCTTTCACGGCCCGAGAACAAAATTAGTAAGTAAGAATATATGTGTATCAAAGACAAAGTAAATTGTATCCTCTGCCATAAACAATCTCTTGTCACTTCCTCAGGATTGCTTTAATTCCTTCCAACTGTGTAAAGGTGGTCCACGCCAATGGAACTGTCATTTTTTACCTCCTTACCAGTGAATACAGACTAATAAAAAGATGATTTACTTATCTTCATTTTCTCCAAATTCTTTAACACAGAAAGTATTCACATAAATAAATCTGTATACTATATGTTTTAGGTTTAGTCATATATAATGGAAATCATTTAAATCATTTATATAATGGTGTAAATCGTCTGTATTAATCTGTGTCTATATAAAATAAAATAACTTCATTCGCACCATTGAGTTCGTAATTTTATTTGATTCATAGCAGTCTATGGAGCATTCATGAATGCTAAAGATATTTAATCTGTTTAACATTTCTAGGATACTAAATCTGGGGCTTTAAAGAAGTCTAGTCGCTATCGCAGCCGTTCCTTATCTGCTAGCAGCACTGACAGTTACAGTTCTGGTATGAATATAATAATGATTATTTGTTGCCTTTGTGCTTGTTAATCTCTCTTTAAATTCTTTTTCTTAAAAAGTGGATGTCATATGTATATATATATGCTTTTTTGTGTTAATGTCTGCAGTATTAATTTATTTAAAACATATGTATAATTTAAAATGTATGCATTTAAAAAAAAACAGTAATTGATCATAATTGATACAAATGTGTTTCATTATTATGCATGATTTATCAATACAAATACAACTCATTAACTTTTATCTCCAAAGTTACAGTTTTATATAGAACATGATTAACTCACACTTGCATTTTTTGTGGCACTAACTGTTAATGTTGCGGTATTTTGGTTTTATCTTAGCATCTTATACAGGAAGTTCATCAGATGAAGATGATGTCTCACCACGTGAGAAGATTCAAAAGACAGAAAAAGGCTTTACTGACTTCTGCGTGCGGAATATCAATCAACATGCCTTTGGGCGCAGAGAAATTGAAATTGCAGAACAAGAAATGCCAGGAATCATGGCACTTCGTAAGCGTGCAGCGGATGATAGGGTATTTTTCTGTTTTGTCTCTTACTTATTTATATAATTTATTAATATTTGTTTACCCATGTGTACTAATTTATAAATTTTGTTAATAATAAGATAAAATTACAATGTATAAACGCTTTTAACAGCCATTGAAGAATGCTAAAATTGTGGGATGTACTCATATCAATGCCCAGACAGCAGTTTTGATTGAAACTTTAGTAGAACTTGGAGCACAAGTACGATGGGCTGCATGTAATATTTATTCTACACAAAATGAAGTAGCAGCTGCTTTAGCTCATACTGGATATCCAATTTTTGCTTGGCGAGGTGAAACAGAAGAGGATTTTTGGTGGTGTATTGATAAGTGTGTTGCAGCTGAAAATTGGCAACCAAATATGATATTGGATGATGGAGGAGATGCAACACATTTGATGCTTAAAAAATACAATGCAATGTTTAAAATGATTCAAGGTATAATGTTTGTTTTTTCTTATTAATGATTTTGGAAACTATATGTACATAATGTTAAAAAGACAAACGTATTTTAGGTATTGTTGAAGAGAGTGTTACAGGCGTTCATAGATTGTACCAATTGTCCAAGGCCGGCAAATTATCCGTCCCTGCAATGAATGTAAATGATAGTGTTACAAAGACCAAATTTGATAATCTCTATAGTTGCCGGGAAAGTATTATTGATAGGTATGTTGATATTAGTTATGATAAAAATATTGTAAAAACAGCATTATATTTATATATATGCTGCTATAAATTCTTTTTGTAAGCTTGTTTTATATAGTTTAAAGAGATCCACAGACGTTATGTTTGGAGGAAAACAAGTTGTAATTTGTGGTTATGGAGAAGTTGGCAAAGGATGTTGTCAAGCTCTTAAAGGATTGGGTTGTATTGTATACATTACTGAAATTGATCCAATTTGTGCATTACAAGCTAGGTAAGTAATTCTGAGTACCTGACTTTGATTTATATCTTACTATATAGATATCTGTTCTGTAATATATATACATATATTTTTTTTTTTATTTTACAGTATGGATGGCTTTAGAGTAATGAAGCTAAATGAAGTGATTAGAAATGTGGATATTGTTATTACTGCCACAGGCAATAAAAATGTAGTTACTCGGGAACACATGGATAAGATGAAAAATGGATGTGTAGTATGCAATATGGGACATAGTAATACAGAAATAGATATTGTATGTTTTAGTTTTTTTTTTAATTTATAGTAGTGTAAAGTTATATTGTTCAGAATGCTTTGATCTTGGCTTGTTTGGAGGAAGAACTCGTATTTCTTCTATTTCAGAACAAAAAAGAAATATATTGGTAAAAGATTAAGATCCCTTTAATATGTTCTTAACAGAACAGTTTACGCACTCCTGATTTAACTTGGGAAAAAGTAAGATCTCAAGTGGACCATGTAATCTGGCCAGATGGAAAGCGTATCGTCCTCCTAGCGGAAGGTCGTTTGGTCAACTTGTCTTGTTCCAGCATTCCTTCTTTTGTAGTCTCCATTACAGCTGCTACACAAGCACTGGCCCTCATCGAACTGTTTAATGCTCCGCCAGGCCGTTACAAGAGTGATGTTTATTTACTTCCTAAAAAAATGGGTATTTATGAAAAATAAATTAAAATTTAAAAGGCAATTAGTATTCAAAAAACTTAAATATAAACACTCGGAAACTATAACATAAAGTTTTATTAATTAATTTTTATTGACTGTTTTATTAGCAAAATTACTAATAAAAAACATATTATTCTGCAGATGAATACGTCGCTTCGTTACATTTACCAACATTTGATGCACATTTAACAGAATTGACAGATGAGCAAGCAAAATACATGGGTCTGAATAAGGCTGGACCTTTTAAGCCCAGTTATTACCGGTTAGTATATATATATATATATATATACATATATCCACGTAGTATTATAAAGATATAATATTAAGAATTTCAAATGGTTTTGTTTTTTTTTGTTTTTTCTTTTTTGTTTTTTTTTTTTCTTGGTTTAGAGAAAATATTTTTCTGTGATTGAATTGAAATTAACAAATACTTGATTGTTGTGATTTATTTGTTTCAGCTACTAAAAGTGAATTAAACATTTCTCTTTGGAACATACGTGCAGTATTTAAGAAATTAGATTTGAAGTTACTGAAGCTATCTACTTTCATTATTGTTTTGTTTTGCTTAATTTAATATGAACGTGCATGTCGTTTAGTAATGAATGCACTATTGTGTAGATTTTTCGTTAAAAATTTACAGATATTTTCAATGTATATTGTAAAATTGTTTTACAGCTGTAAGTTCCGAAGATCTAATGTTATCGGAATTTTTACAACTCTGTCAACATTTCCAATACATAATCGGATCATTTTTACTATTTATTTTAACTAGTAATGCAGTGAAAATCATTATTAAAATAACGAATAAACGATTTAAAATGATTTTTTAGAGATATAATTTTAAAAGCAATTTACTTTCTTCGATTGATATTGTAAAAAGAATCGAAATAAAATTAAGTATATCAGATGAATTAAGATCTTTGAATTAATAATATTAGAAAGCCCTTCATTTGAATATTGATAAACTTTACTGAATTCATAATTTTAATTGTTAAATTCTTGTAAAAAAATATAACATTACTTTCATATATAGAAAATAGTTAACAGAGCTGAAGTATTACTATAAACGATTTTGAAGATATTAATGCATTTTTTAATTCATAATTGAAGGGTTAATATATAACAAAAGATTATATTTAATACATTGACCATTTTTATCGTTTGTTCTTGAATTATTTTCTTATTATATACATATTTTAAATTCAATAAGGTGATTAAAAAATAATATTAAATTATTAAACGAAAATGTCAAACATGTTCTTATATACAATTGTCCATTATTAGAATTTGTAAAAATAGAATAGCAAAATTTTTCCGATATGTTTTAGAAAACAATATTATTTAATAGAATAACGTGCTTTAAATCAGCCAGAAAAAAAAAATGTAACATATAATATGCAATATTACTATCAGTTTATACATGCACATCATACATGGTACATTATTCTATATGTAAGTAATAATGTGTCATGATAAATGTATTTAAAAAATATTATCCACAATACTATTAATCTAATGATTGATGTACACCTCATTTATGCAACAATATAATTTTTCATTATTTATGTTATAATTCTATACAATTTCACGTAAAATTTAATAGAAATAAGAACTAAAGGATCGATATACAATGCAATAACAAGATAATTATAAATATGATTATTGAACATATGGGTATCAGTGTTCCTAGAATATTATAGAATGGCCTAAGCCTACTATGGAATTATGTGATGTGCAAATAAATTTTTATACGCGCATAAATACAATGACAAATAATAACAACTTGCGCAATAAATTAAAAATTATGTACTCATTTATTCTTTGCCAAAAATCTGAATAGGAAGATATATTGATCATTAGGTGATGAAGTGGAAAATTTAGTATGTTATATTAATATTATAGCAAATTAAAAACAATAATATATAATATAGTTAATAATGAGTAAAGTCTTAAAATTGATGATTGATTTTAATTAAAGACAAAAAATAACAAGTAACATAATATTATGTTCACCACAATAGGAAAGGGACAAAAGTATCTTACATATAGATGTATGTATGAACACATTGTAAAATATAGAATAAAATAATAGTTGCTAATCATCTCAATATTATAATATATACCAAAAAATAATAGAATATAAAAATATAACATAAAATATAAAATATAGATTTACAGTATTTCAGCAATACTACTAAGCAAGACAGCATCTGTGATTACGTTTTTGACAATAGACATTTAGAATCATGCAGTAGAAATATATACTTTAAAATTATTAGATATCCTGATTATAGTAACTTTATGGATATTTTTGTAATATTTACTCCATCAATAAAACATGTAAAATATTACCTTGAATGGATACGTATTATTATAATACGTACATTTGAAATGTTAAAGAAATGATGTAGATAAAAATTTTGCTTGTTTCTAAATTATACAAATATATACACACAAATTGTTACTTTATTAGGTAATCAATATGTAGTCAAAAACAAAAACGTAATGTTCAAATATAATAGTTAATATATTTCAGCATAATCATTATAAAGTAACTGTTTTCGAAGCACATATTGACAGCATTCTTCAAAGATAAGTTACAAGATTTCTTGTAAATATTTAAAACGATTCCTGTACGAGTATTGAAAATAAAGTAACTTTGGAATATACACACTAAAAGAACATAAAATGGCAAGTTTTTACGGCATGGCATACAGACAATGGCATAATTGTTATTTCGTAGTAAGTTAAACTAAACGTAACCACAATCTATGTAATAAGAAATAAATAATAAAACCAAAAAAGTAGTAAAAATATATTTTACAGTACTCTGTACAAGACCTCACTAGAATTAGTATCATGTTATCTTAATATAAAAAGATATAACATTAATTTTGAGATGATAAATTCACAAAATTTAGAATACTTTATAAAAGAAATGGCAAATAGTTCATATATATATATATATCTGGCGAATTAACTCAACAATCCAACGCACTATATTTCGACTCCTATACACAGGGAGCTCAACATTATTTATATATCCTGTTATTCTCTGTTGATATAAATTTACTTAGATGTATAAAAGATATATAATATTTACATAAACTGATTCTTTTACAAGTGATTGCACAAAGATTTAATTATCGTAATATAAACATTAGAAAATGTCATATACATAGAAATCATAAAGTATTATAAATGAAGTCACAAAAATACTTAATTTTGACATAATCAGTTTGTTACTCATAATACTGAGCCCCCATAAGAAAGTGAAGGTAAACAAACATTAAACATCTTAAAGAACTATTCAGTATTTAACTAAATTATAGAGATTGTATTATTACATACAAAAATAAAACATGAAAATAGGCGTTGTATACGTGCCTGATTTGTTAAAGACAAATTAATAAAAATATAAACATTGACACAAATATATCTTATAAAAATGGGTAGCACGTCAGTAATTCTATATTTTGTTTAATTCCAATTTTTGTCAATTTAGCCTAGTATATTTTTACTGTGCAATAAAGTACTTTTTTCTTCTTTATAAATATGTAACAAAAATAGATAATAATAGATATTTATATGTACAGAGGGGATATGTGAAATCTATTAATAGATAAGCTTGATTACGTTCTTAAATTAATCTATAAGCCCATAAAGCAAAAAATACTTATTTAATTTAATATCAGCATAAACTGCAATAGTATGCATTTACCTTCATTTAAATAGCTCATTATGTCATTTCTTGTCGATTTATTTTTCCTTAAAAAGATTATTGATAAATCTTTGTAGAGAAATAAATTTGAAAATTGGACGTACAAGTTGCTTATTAAAATTTTGTAAAGTTATTACGCGAACTAGGTACATTTTTAATATTCTGTATACACATTTTATATATAAAACCGTTACGTAATATTATAATATAAAATTAATTAATTGCATTTGTAATACATAAATATCATTTATCAATGTTTAATTATACTGTACATTATTTTTATATTAATCATAAGATAATAAACCATTCGATGTTTAGAGAAGTGTACAAATCATTATCGAGTGTCATATGTTTTTTATGCTTTCTCTCATTTATAGCTTATGTCCAATGCTGTAATTTTCAAATTTTTGATTACCCCCATTTTAGTATTCTCTAATTATTTAGAAATACCCATTCTCTTATTTAAAGATCGGGCATCATATACTATACACTTAACATGATTAAAAACTAAGTAGCATTTGCATAATACACATAATGCATTGCATATTCGCGGTTCGTCTTAATAATAACAACATACGAGTATACATAAGCTCGTTTTATGTCAAAATTACATAGATGTTAATTCATCTATGTAATTGAGTAGATCGTATTTCACAAGTACAAACAATATATTTCTCAAGTTCAAATATATCTAACAATCACAACAATTCTTTTGTAAAATATTAGACTGTTTGAACTTGTAAAATTACTCAACTCTAAAAAGTCCAGGCCTTTTTTATTTCAGCATGATTTTGTGCTAATTATATTTTATAGCGTGTCAAATAGGAATAAAGTTATATTTAATATTTGTAGTAATTAATGAATATAAGAAATGAATATTTGTGCAAAGGGAAATAATATTTAATAAAATAATATAAATTCTGAAAGTATTTATATAATAATAATTCTGCAAAATTGTATAATTTTATATATATTGCATAAAGCAAAATATATATAGAGAATTCTAATTTTTCTTAAAGTGCAATAATATATACAATGACATAAAAAAGGCCTGGTTGTAAAAACTCGCGTACTCTGTCAATGACTAGCTTAAACTATGCATACATATATTCTTGCTCGTTTTTTTATGACTGTTTTAATGGCATTGCATTATTCAAAACTTTGTTAGAACAGTGTTCTTATCACTTGTTATATAATTTATAAAATCTCTACTAAATGTTCTTTTTATGATTAACAGTGTATAATTGATTCTTTTTTTTATTCTGAATAAGTTCTAATTTATATAAGATATTTATTTATTTTTTTTCCGTTAACTTTGCAAACTGTTATTAATTATAATAAAATACTATAGAAAAACAATAAAAATAATATTTACAATTGAACAATTTGCATATGCAAATAGCATGTAATATAAGTTTTAATTTGTTTGATGGACAATAATATGAACAAAGAATTATTAAATTTTACTCAAGTAAAATCTCTATATATGATTGCACTGTTGAGGAATAAGTAAACATATTTTATATTATTATTTGCCTCAGTATTTGTTGAAATATAGCTTCAAGAAGAATATTAGTATGCACATTGCTATCCATAAGAAGGATAATATAAATCTGTGATTAATTATGTCCAGTTAATTTCATGTAACATCAAAATAAATTTGTTGTTAAAATTTATAGTCTTTTAAAATATACTAATTAATGTTAATAATATGATGAAGAATTTGTTGCGAAATTTGTAAAGACAAAACAATCATCTCTCGAGAATCACACTTATCATAATGTATCGATGTTTAAATAACAATTTGATTATTTTGACAACAATAAGCTGTCTATCGATAGATATATGCCACATAATTTACTTAATTTATTCTTATTACTATAATATTATAAAGGACCCTTTCATCACAAAATATATGATACAAACGTAATACATTTTGTACATACTTTCACAAGTGAGGGCACTTAGTATTTAATATATCCATGAATCACTCATATCGCGTCATTTACAATATCACGATATAACATTATCCTCAACTTCATATTTGATGCAAATTTAAAAGATGCTTCCTTAAGTGCCAACTTTGATTATAGTTTGCAGAACACTTGAATAGATGCACAAAATAATGTAAAAAAAAAGCTCATGCCAATACATCATTATGTACATCTATATTTTACAGGATATAATGTCCAAGGCCCTCATTAAAATGATTACATTTTTTAAATCATAGATGAACTATGTTTAACTGCATTCTTCAAGCACCTACGGACACATCGTTTTATTGCACCACATGATTCATTATGTTTTATCTTCACTATAAAGGAAGTCTTATTAACATAAAGTATAAATTCTATAACCATCAAAAGTTAATTTACTTCTTCTCATTGCATTGTACTTGGCACAACTGTCACTTTACAATATTGTTCGTCTGATGACTGACCAATAGTTTGTGGCAGTGGCTTATCAAATCTATCATGTTGTGTATAAGATGACGATGTTGTAGATGGTATTTGTTGATCTAATTTTGGATTTTCTGCAATGGTTACATATCCAGAGCTTTTATTAGTAACAGGCACCATTTTATCAGTATCCAATCCTATGCTTGGTTTCAGATTTCCACCTGACTGCCAGTATAAAGGAGATGATGTTGGAGAATCATCACTTTCACCTTCATGTATTTCTGAATTGGAAGTTTCTGTTTTTTCTCTTTGCTGTTGTAGCATGTGAAAAACAGATGTTGCAAGAACATATGGTTTTGATGTCCCATCTGTGGTACTATGTGGAACACATGATTTTTGTGAGGAATCCAATGAACTAGTTACGGCACTTGACTTTTTTGTTATTTCAGGTATTGATGACACGGTAACATACGGCTTTGATGATGAATCAATCAAAGTTTGTGTTAACGTAGTTGGACTTATAAAAGAAGAAACGAACGGTTTATTACAAGAATCTGTTAAAGATGTTGAAGCAAAAGGAGTAGATACCATACTTCTCTTAGAATCTGTATTGGTTAAATTAAATGGTTTTTTCAATGTATCTATTATACCTGTTTGTACATATGGTTTAGAAGTTTTATCTGAAACGGAAAGTGGCGTTATAGTTTCGGATTTTAATTTATTTCGTTCTGTAAATGTTATATCGTCAAGATCATGGAATGAATCTGTAACTTTCTTATCTTTTCCTTTCTGTTCTAGAGATGCCAAAGTTATATATGGATTAACGAGTTTGTTCTCTGTTTTAATGCCAACAGTTTCAGTCATTTCTGCATTTTCTTCTGATTTAGATCTCATAGGTTTAGAAATTCCATCAATTATACTGTAACAGCCAGCATTGAAAGGTTCCTTGGGAACCAAGCTTGGATTACTGGATAATTCTTCAGATGAAGGCATACTAATATATCCTGTTGATGACCATGTATGTTGAGAAGTAGTATAACCTGTACTATCAGTTAAATTAGGAGTTGATCTTGCTAAAGATGATGTATCTCCTATTATTGGTTCTCCAGATTTTGCCACCTTTACATAAGAATCCCAACGAGCAGTTTCTGTTACTAGTACAGGTCTAGTGACACCAACATTTCTCTGGCGAAGACTAGATGATTCCCAAGCTGGTAAAGTTTCAAGCAATTTGTTAGGTGAGACTGGTATTGGATCTATTTCTGTTCCACTATCACTAGAAACTTGTGAATCTGATGTAAGAGAAGATGTAACAGACTCTTGTCCACTTGAACATCCGCTTGAATCAGCAGAAGATTGTCGTATATGTTGCTCTCCCCCTTTTTGAAGCAGTTTCTATAATAATAAAAAATCATTGTAAATCAATAAGAATTATTATAATAAAAAGAGAAGTTAATTATCAATATTATCATAAATTTAGAATATGCCTTACCATATTTGGTGCAAGTCCTGGTGGTAATTTGACTTCAACATCTTGCATAGCCTTACACTTCAGCCACATCCTGCAATGAAGAAATCGAAAAATACAATATGTTATAAAAATGTTATCTATATCGCATAAAAGAATACAAATAAACTACAAACAGAATAGTTAGGAAGACAACAAAAAAGAATTTCTATTTACCTCTTAGACGTATATGCAAGACAAAAAAGGAAAGCTACACCACTCAGACTACCAATCACCCATATAACTACCCATACTTTAAATGATGGTCCTGTAACACAAAGGAGAACATTGAACAATAGATGATACTGTAAAAATAATTAATTTGTATAATTACCATCACTGTAGCAGTTTCCTTCTCCAGGATCTGACCAAGGTCCTTTTAGATAAGTGTTATCTGGAGCTATATTAACAGCTCTTACACGAAATTGGTAAAGTCTTTCTCTACCTACAGTTTTACAATCAGGAATTGGCAACTGGGCGTCTGCAATGTGTATTACAATAATTTATATAATATGATATTTTGTTTCATTTATATAAGTATATTAAATATCACTCACTCACCAGTCTTTGTACTATTTTGAATTTCACCATCACTAGAAAATATTTCATAATAATCTAAATGACCAGCTGAATTCTGTGGTTTAGACCATATGACAATTACTTGACTCGAATTCATAAATCGTACATTTGGTACATGAATTTTTCCGGGTACGCCTATTTCCGTGACTTTATAAATTGTTGGAGATTTTACGCTACAAGACACAGTACAAGCAGCAACATTAACGCTATAATTTTTGTACGCTAAAAGCTCCTTTAATTCTATATGATTAGCTTCTTCAACTTTTTGTGCACGACCATTATAATAAACTTCATAATATCGAAGTACACCATTCATCGCATCAGGTGGTTTCCATGTTATAAACATTGTTGTATTTGTAACGTTAACGATTGTAACATCCTTTGGCGGTGTACTTGGTGCAGCTTCAAGAGTTGTATTGTATAAAGGATCACTATGTAAACCTTCTCCACTTTTTGTTAATACAGCCACAGCCAACATATATGTAGTATAAGGTTTTAAGTTATTTACTATGCCATGTATTGTATGAGGATCTGCTTTAATGGTAGTATTTAATTTAGAACCTTTACAATTGAGATTAAATGGAGACATTATTGGACAATAATAAATATTAAATCCTTCTACAATGCCAATACGGTCGGAACAATCCAATTTCCATCCAACTTCAATAAAATCAGAGCCAATACGATTTATCCACACAGATTTCATTTTGCCTACAACTTTATTATGAATTACTGTACATGATGCCCAAACCATTCCACTACTTCCTTTTTTTGTATTTGCCGAAATTGCAAACTGATACACTTTTTTTGCGTCAGGTACAGTCATATTATAAATTGTAGTATTCTTTGATACATGGACCCAATCCAAATAACCCTATAATAGAATATATGTCATTAAAATATTAAATAAAATATTCTTTTGTTACATATTTATAACAAATCGTACATACAGTGCATTGATAAGGTCGATCGCGCTCATTATCACACCAAAATATAGTGTAATTTGTAATTTCTGTATTCATACTAGGTGGTTTCCATGATAATTCATATAAACCTCCGTCGAATGCAATTTTAGTAAATGCTACTGGTTCACGTGGAACTGAAATGAATTCAATATTAATATTTTTGTATTGAGTTCTATTATGTATATACACACACACACGCGCGCACACATACGCACATACGCACGCGCACGCGCATGCATACACACACGCACACATATATATATATTCTTATATTCTTACTTTCAAATTTGCTTGGTACAAATATTTTAGATCTCTCTTTACTCATACCAATTATATTTGCTGCAACAATTTCGAAGCGATAACTATTGAAACTTATCCCTTTGAATTTTGCATATGTTCTAGTTGTCTCATTTGGTATAAGAGCTAATTTTCGTCCACTTTCTTCTACATAATCAATTTGATATTTAAAATTATCACCATTTTCCAAATATTGAGGTATAGCTTGCCAATATAAATATATATCTCTGTTAATGTTATTCTCTGCTATTTCAAAACTTCCAATATCAGTACGTGGTGGTAATGCAGGCACTGAAAATATCATATATATGTATAATTAGAATATGCATTCTAAACTAATAGTTAAATATTATCTTACATCTTGCTGGTGTTCTAAACGTAATATCACTGAATTTACTCCATTTATCTTCTCCTACTGCTAGTGCACTTTTCATAAAAACACGGACATCATAACCAGTATTAGCATATTTCAATCCAGTAAGATTGTAATATCTTTTGGGCATGTGTATTTCATTTGTAATATTGATTATCTAAAGACACCACAATTACAATGAATATATAATAGTAATTGTACATAATATTTTGTTTATTTATAAAGTGCAGACTTACCTGCCAAGACTTTTGATGATCCCATTGATTTTGATAGGTGATTCTGTGATGTAAACCAGGAGGAAAATTTTGCATTGGAAATGGCACACTCCAATGTAAGATTGCACTATCTGATGTTTTATTAATTACTGATAAATTTGCTGGTTTTGCTGGTATAACTGTAAAATATAAATAAGCAGATGATAGAAACCTTAAATCATTATTAAAAATGACTATAAAAATAATTTATAGCTACAAACCATGAGCAAAATGATGAAATTTATATGATACACTTATATTTCCCAGTACATTTTCTATATTTAATATAAATGTGTAATACTCATATGGTTGTCTGTATATTGGATTTGTAGATGCATCCCATAAACAAGTATTTGGTTTATTTTGTTTCGGACAAGGATATAACTTCCGGCCTCCTGCTCTTCCAGGTAACTTAAATACTAAGGTAAATCTTGTAGTAACATAATTTTGCACTGGATCCCAGGAGCAAATCATATTTTCCCAATTGTAAGATATACAACTGAAGTTCTGCGGTTCTTGGGGTTTAACTATAAAGTAAAATATAATAAATATAAACATAAAATGTATAAAATGTATAAAATGTATAAAATGTATTACTGCAAAAAAATTTTATTGCATTTAAAAAAAAAATAAAATAATGTTATTTATATGAGTGAAATTATATTGTTACTAATAAAGTAAATAATGATGTGTTACATAGCAATGTATTGAATTTTACATAACGATTTTAATTTCTATATTGTTTTTTTACTTCTTATCTTATATTTTTTTTGTAATAAAAAATTTTCATTATTATAAGTTAAATATTAAAACAAATATTTCTAAGTAAAATTTATGTATATAATAATGTTTGGATTCTTAGATACATTTAATTTTTTATATGCTGTTGATATCTTAAAGGATGCATAAGCAAAGTTTCCAAGATATACTCATGTCAAGTGTCAACTTCATGAAACTAATAAGTGGGGGAATTCAATACTCAGTCTTGTTTCTATCTATCTTTTGACCCAGGCTGATAAGCCTATATGAATGACGCATTTTCGTAGGAAACTCATATTGCAGATATAAAGTTTATTTTATAACTAAATAAATTTCCTATTAAAATTTTAAACCATAACTCAAAGTTCATATATTAAAGTATTAGTTTAAAATAAATAAAAAACTCATTTAAAAACTTCTAACTGCCATGCAAATTCTATAGTATATGAAAAGACAGTTGGACTAATAAAAATAATAATAATAAAAGTAATACTTACAACCAATAACAACTTTATTCAAACAAACTGCTTCATGTTGTTTATTATGATCATTAGATAATCTCAATTTACAATAATACATATCTTCTGCAGGTGGTGGTTTTTCTACATACATTGATATTGTAGTTTCATTGATAATAGTAATATATTCTGGTTCCATTTCTTTCATATTGCGAAAGAATACTAGATCAGAAGAATTTTTTCCAGGAAATGTAGTGTCTATATATGTCTTATTTAATATACAAAGAATTTTCAAAGGTTGACCATATTCAAGAACAATGTCACCTTGTGGCCAAGTCCCTAGAAAGTAACAAAATTATATAAAATTATTTAATCTTATCCTAGAAAATTCATAAATATAAAATAAAGTAAAATAATTTATTGTATGATGCTTTAAATTGTATGATGCTAATATTGAAAAAAAAATATCTTTTATATATGATCATTAAAAAAATAGTTTTTTGAAAATAAAAATATTCTTTTTATATGCAATAATCATATTTAAATGTTAAACGTTAAATTTGATTTAAAAATTTGCTATTAATATAGAAATTGTAATAAATATAATCTCAACAAAATCATGTTTATAATTAATATATTTATTTGAATTTAACATTATACATTTTAACCTCAACATGAAACTGTATTTTCCTTGCATCAAATATAGATATATCCATTTGGCTCAACTTTGGAATTCCAAAAGAAAAGATAAGAAGTAGGTTTTATTTATAATTCTAGTAGACTAAGAAGATATAGAGTAACAGTATAAACTTATGTGTAATGTTTTTAACAACCTGTAATTTTATCAATAATTTAATTAACAATTTATAGTTAATAATTTAATATATACATATATAAATTATATGTATACGTTAATTAACTTCTACTATTCTTTTAATAATAATAATCTATATATTAGAAATATACATAGAATTTTTTTTATACTTTATCTATTGAATGTGATATAATATGAAGTAAAATAATAAAAAATATTATCCAAATATATGGAACTTACATCCAGGAGTTTTTAAACCAACTGCGCACTGACTGGGATCTGCATTACAGATATTTGTACATAACATGCCAATAATAATTATAAAAATTGTCCTCCAAGTATGGCTCTTCCATTTAATATCTGTTGATTGTGCAACTGATAAACCTAAACTATAATCAGAATAATCTCTTGTTACAGAAGATCTATTTAACAAGTTAAAATAGCTGCACGTGCACAAACAATTCTTCGTTAAATCACAACAATCACTTTGCCTTATTTCACATTTACACGTAAAACATGTAACTTCCTTTTCTAATGAACACTGACAAATGGAGCACATTTTAACATCACATTTGTTATATATTGGACAATCATTTGCTTCATTTTTTAAATGTGCTTTATCTTTATGATATAATAAATGATTTCTGTCTGTACAACCATGATTTGTTGGATCTATGTAGTCTCCACAAATTTTATAAGACTCAGACATGCTATGTGCACCTGTACACCAACATTTATCATGCTTCGATCTAGTCTCTGATTTTAATAACGAAACTCGATTCATTTCTCGAGGATGTCTTCCAAAACATGCTGTATTTGAAGACATATTGAGCTCCCATCACTGAAAAATAAATAAATTATCTCAGAATGATTTTATGAAATAAATTCTTTAACTATTAACTTTGAAAAATAAAAATTTATATGAACTTGTAATAAATAATACAAGTTGTTTAAGAAGTTTAAAAAAAAAGTCACACTATTATTAGATAATATAAAGTAATAAAACTTATGAATCGAGAAAGATGTATACCGCACGAAAGCTTTAATGCAACTACAGTATGATAGGATAAGAGATCAAGTAAAGAATCAAATCAGATTGAAAATGGATTCATAATCTATATACAAAACAACGATTCATTCATCTTATTTACTGGAATCATTAAAAAAGTATAAAAAATCAAAAAATCAAAATATTCTATCTGATTGCAAAAGAACTTACACAGTAATTTCCATATTAACAAATTCATATCATTATATCAGATATTATATCAGATATTATGACTTAAATATAATACAAATTGTTCTACACATGAGTTAAAAATAAATTTGATCAATATTATAAAATTTATTACTATAAACATACATCCTGTGATCAAAATTCGCTAACATAAACGTTGCATATTATTGAAGGAATAAGAATCTCAAATATCACTTGCATTAAATTTTACATTATGAAAACAGAAATGAAGAGAAAATCGAAAGTTTTGCATGTCTTGTCTATTATTTCAAAATTACAAAGGATTTTGATTTATAATTCAAATAAATCTTTATTAAAGGCAATTTGTACGCCTACAATGCATGTTTTATCAAATCTTCATACGTATGTATGAATTAGTAACTAGTTGTGTATCTAGGTATGTATTACACACTCGTGCATATGTGCAATAAGTAGCGTAATATTACGCGTGCTTGCGCGAACGTTAATTGGTTAAAAAAAATAGATTGTCGAAGATGACGATGATATTATAAACACGGGGACATACGTTGTGCATTATAGAAAGAGAACACAACGTGAGATCAACAATGCGTACGTTCACTAAGTACGCACATATGTACGAGCATGTATGTACATAGATACATACAAACACATATAGGAACATTGAGCCTCATGGCAATCGAAAAATATGCGTTCGTCAATGGTCTCTTACTAACAAAAGAAAAATCTATTATGCTATTGTATCTTTGAAACGCAACATGTAGCATTGCGAAAATAGAACTTAGGAATAAGGAAAACTATCAATAAGGAAGGGAAGAAGTGAAGGTATAGGGACTAGAAGGAAGGTGTGTGAAGCAACGAAGAGGGGGGGGAGGGAGGAAGAAACATTACGATCATGGGAAAGTCCAAGTAATCATAGAAGTAAGAACGAGAGAGAGTAGCTCACCCTCGACTTGACGCCGTCGAATTTCTGTCTATCTCTCATTGCACTTCCATGAAATCTAAATAATCCACCTTCATGCCACACTCCACTTTACTATGTATACTTCTTGAAAGACACACACACACACACGCACAAATATACACGCGCACCACTAGCAAGAGAAACGAAATGAGCAAACCCGTTTTACCCGCTGGGTATTAATGCTTTCCTCGACGTACCGTAAACGCGTTACCTCAATGTATTATTATTTTTCTTTTAAAAACACAGACTCCATCGAACGTGGTTATCATGAGTCGTAATTTCCACGCACGTCGCAGCCGCATAAATCGGCCGTGTCACTTCATATTTGCGAAAAAATTCTGTTTACATTCCCCGAGAGGGGCCCAAGAATAAGTGTATATATATATGCGATATCACATTCTGGGTAAAAGTACGTGCGATCAATCGACAGTGTTACCAATCTGATAGCTAATAGAGGCATAGTTAGTAAGTCTTTTTAAAAAGGACCGGGTAAGATGAATACTTCCAATCGTCGTTTTCCAATCAATGAAAGATATAAATTTAATGAATTTGCCTTAATTGGATTTTATGATAATTCTTTTTTATGACGATATGCAAACATATCGCGTTCAGGAATTGCAGTATGATTGACGTCATGATTGAATGTCAAACGCCATATTCTTAGAAACGAAGGCGCAGGCTTCGTTGTTGGAACTTCAAAGCGAAAGCGCCATTTTTTAAATTATGACGCCCAAACATGGTATTATAAATTATCAGGATAATGTACATCTATTCGTTATGAATTCTATTTTCTTTTTGATTTTATTCTTTTTATTACATAATTTTAAAAAGACAATGTGTCATGATATAAGATTTGACCTAAGAGCAAACGTAAGGTAACGTTACTTCACAATATTTAATGTATTATTTATTATATCAATATGTTTCAACAACAATATAATGATGACACAATATTTTCATAGTAACAATATTAATTTTCTGTGTTCATTTTTGCGCATTATAGATAACGATTATTGATATTTTTAAAATACATTCATAGAATACAAAAGTATAGTTGTTTAATAAATACATGAGACAAGCATATATATAATCATCTTATGGTAGAGAGAGATCTTATAAATTTCGAGCAACAGAATGAATAACTGCCAGTTTCATTATTAATCTATAACGGAAATGTATGAAATATAATTTTTACATCACAATAAAATGTAAACCCATTCCAAGTATAGACTAAAATGTCTTATAATCATTTTACTCAAAGAGATATGTGTATACTATAAGGCTAAAAAATATTTTTATTATAATCATATTACTAAAAGGCATAAAAGTTTCAAAATATATAAGCAATATTTTGGCAAGAGTTAATGTAAACAAATAGATAGCTAAATTGTTTCAGCAAAGAAATGAAAAGATTTATCATGATATTTTAATTAACATACTGTTATTTTAGATATTAAGTCAACAATAGTCAACATGATCATTTAGTCTTTAAAAATGCATAGATATATTTACAGTTATATCATATATAGATACATATATGATATCCTACATAATATACAAATATGTATATGTATTTATATATATATAATTATAAAAAATAAACGATGGTTATGAAGTGAGTAAATGTGATCCATTCAATAGGGACTGCTGCTTCTTATCATTTATATGATATGCGGCAGAGATTACTTATTCGAACATATAATGAATTATGGTGATTTTCCACATACGTGTCTGGATGCATACATGTTGTTTCTTACATCAATGCTGAGATCTAAAAATACAATCTAATATGTTATTCTTACTTTATCAATAACTCGGGCCAAACAAGTTTCTTTATCTCTCGCTAAATCGATAGTAAAAAAATATATATTTTGTAGTTTTAAACATTCACTCTTTGAATTATCGCAAAACGATAGGAAGAAACCGGTGTAAAAAAGTTTTTAATCAATCTCATCTCTCATTCAGAAACTTTCTATTTTTTAATCTAAAGCTCTTTAAATAATGTAATTAATAAACGATTGATATCAATACTCTAAACTGCATGTCAAAAGAAAATGATTGATAAGAGCATTTGCTTCTTTGGTTGTACGAACACTTAAATATTAATGGACATACATATACACCTCAGATACGTCGTAATAAATACTTAAGGAAATAGTACTCCCACTCATCTTTTAAATGTTATTAAGACATGAGATGGTCGTAAAGATAGCTAAATAATAGTAGAAAATACTAAAAGATCTTTATGTTCATTTGAAGAGTTCTTTATCAAGGCCACACTTATGTTGGTGTCTTGATAAATTCTAATTAAAAAACAACAAGATTTATAGAAAAACATCCACAAAGGGAAACTTTAAATATTATCTTTACAGTCTAATTTCTCTTAAATAAGATTTGTCAATGAGAAAATTATTTTTTTATAGAACAAAGTTAGAATATTTTACATTAATTTCAAGTTATTCTTCACATAAAATACTACCTATTGGCAAAAACTAATATTGGTAAATGTAAATTTGAGACCACATTTTATAACTTTTGTCATTTTTACTGTAGCATATATCACTTTATCTTAACTGTGTGGTTAAAAGTATCAAATTGTATTTCAAAAAGTATGCAATTGTAGTAAAAATATGTATAGTAATTATCGACTATGATTTTTAAGTCTGAATTTTCTTTTATAAATTTCTCAGTGTTATTGTTATTAAATATTTACTTATTGTATAAACATTTAAAGTATCAATTACATTTATACCAAGAATGCTTACTATAGATATCTCTTTTTAGATGAACAGCAGTTCAATAAAATGGAAAATCGAACTTTCGGATGTTTTTTAGGGTGCACACCCATCTCGTCTAATTTCAATAAATGCCTTTGTGGGGTGCCCTCACCAATTGGTCGAATACTTATTTGGTCGAGTGTGAGATTACTCTACAATGAATTTTAATAAAAATTTATAATCATTTTGAAGGCCCAAGCATTCACTTAGTAATTGTTATTAAATACGGAACACGCGCAAGGCACAATACTTTCAAGCTATCACACGTGTTAGGATCAATTACGAAATTAAACAATCAAAATATAAAATTAGCACCAATTTAGTTAAGATGAGCAAATGTCATAGTATCTAAAAATTAGATTCCTTGCAAGCTAAAATAATAGCTGCAAGAAAAAGCCACACTAGCTATCATTTTGATACGACTTTACAAATACGAATAATAAAAATACCTTCCTGTTTACATTCATAATTATAATGAATGTAATTAAAAAATAACTAATATATAAATTTTCAATATAAGTTAATTAATTATTGAAATTCCCATAATAATTTACCCACTTAAATGGATATAAAATAGATCAAAATTTTGGTGTAGATATATAAAACACGTTATAAAGAGCGCATATAAATGTGAAACAATTTTACACTGATCATATATGTTAATATCTAACAATATTATCCAATGTAAACATAGATAATAAGTTGACACAAAAGATTCTTTTTTCCTTCTCGTTGACAATTGCATACAATACCAATCATTCAGATTCATTATTATAAAACATTATACATTATGACACATTTTGTTTTTCTTTTCTGTTTTGGTTCTTTTTTCCTTTTTTCTTTATAAAAGTAAAACCAAATACCTGGTTTACATTTTATTTACGCAGTGTCAGAAGACATGTTTCTTTTTTTTTTGGAATTACTCTTCATTTCTTATATTGTCTGTCGCCTTATCTACTTAACACATTACCTAATGTTACACCCTGAAGCTTGATTCCAAGTCATCAGAAGTTATACAAAGGCAAAGTTAGCATTAGCATCATCATAAAAGATGTTTCGTTAATTTATGATTAATATGTTATTATTGAAATGGTTAATCTCAAATATTCATATCGTAGAGATGTGGAGGAGCACCTACCACTGATGGCATTTGACAGCCACGTCGTACTAACAGGCGAACCGAAGGACCACCATTACGAATAATTTCAATCGCTTCCGTGTGTGTCATATTTTTAGTATTGATACCATTTATTTCAATTATTTGATCACCAACCTAAGAATTATTGTGAAAAAATAATAAATTATAATCTTATTAATAAACTTCACATAAAACAAATACTTACCCTCAATCGATTATCGATAGATGCAGGTCCATTTTCAGCAATTTGCAACACAAATAGTGGCATATTCTGAAATTCGCGTCCACCACGTATACTAAATCCAAATCCTCGAGTTCCACGCGTTAATTCAACAGCATGATATTGACCTCCATCTCCTTCTCCTGTTGGTTCATCCTAAGTTATATGAAATAATTCAGGATTATAAAAGATCTGTATAGATGAACATAATATTTATTATATAAAAAATAATATAATAACAATTAATACCTTTTGAGATAAAGATGTGCTGCTACAACAATCATCAAGAGGATAACCAATTGTTAAGGTCACAGAATATCCAGAATCTTTGATTAGATTCACGATATCTTTATGACATACATTTGTTATATCAACGTGATTAACAGCTAATATATGATCTCCAACATTTAATCGCCCACATCGTTCCGCCGGAGATCCTTCAATTATTCTACCAATCGTAGAGCCAGCTTTATTAACTGACGATATAATTACAAAACCAAATCCTTCATTTTCCATTCTAGTGACTGTCACGTCATAAGGATATTGGAGATTCATTTGTCTACTATGTATTATTATATCATTTGAAGCTTGGAGATTATCTTGTAAATGTTCTTGAGTATTAATACGGCGACGTATTCCCAAAGTAACTCTGCCATTTTGAGCTGCAGCTATCATTAATTGCACTACATGATGGTGTGAAGAATTCATTACACTTTCTCCATCAACAGACATAATTAAATCGCCCGTATTCAGTCTGTTATCAAGATCTGCTGCACCACCAGGTACAATATGACCAACAGAAACCTGCTAACCATTACATACTATTAGCTCCAGTTTCCTTTTCACATTTATAATATTTGTAAATTATAATGTTTATTAGAACTAACCTGAGATCCCTCTTCTGTACCACCTACTATTCTAAATCCAAACCCTGTATCTTGTCTGACTAATGTCACAAGTGTCTCAATCCATTCTATATCAGGTACAATTGGGCAAACCAATTCATTACTATATTGTGGATACCTTTAATCAACCAAAAGTAATCATGCAATTATATATATATATAAAAAATTAAATTTAAAAATTTTAAAAATAAAACTAAAATGTTAATATACCGTGCTATAGAACTGGAATGTGGTTGTTCATGTTCAAAGCTGGTAGTTTCCTTTCGCTTATCCCAAATTTCACCAGTGTCAACATTTTGTTCTTGACCAATTGAATAAACATTATAATCTGTTTCATTATATTGGGAATGCGATTGAACAGCGTATAAATCTTTATAATAATCGGAATGTATACTTCCATTTTGTTTTAATATATTTTCATGATGAGAAATGTTAATAGAATATAAGTCATTATTTATATTCAGTTTATCATTTGTTACCCAATCATGTTTTGTAACATTTCTTACAGATTCATCATCCAAATTTGTCATGGTAGCAAAGCTGTCTGTTAAGTTCGTAATGTTTGCTTTATATGGATCAGTATAATACATGCTATGACTATATTCAGAATATTTATATCGAGTATCAAGTGGATTCAATTCATTTTCACTTTGTACTTCATTCCAGTTTGGTCTACTTGCTGCTGTAGGAGATTTAGGATGACTTCTTGTATCTATTAATGGTGTTTTTGGTCTGCTAGGTATTATTGTTTTAGATTGAGTACTATAAATATCTGCAGTAGGAGTCTTACTTCTGAAAAAATCTTGAGTGTTCTTTTCCTTCTTTTCTTTAGATTTTATTGTGGTCCTTTGAACGTGAACAAGAGCTTCTTCATTGCGTGGACAATCTTTTAATACTTGGACAACCTCTGAGTGACACATATTTCTTACATTGATATCGTTTATACTAACCAATATATCACCTTCCATCAAATTCTTACAACGTTGGCGATCCAATATCTTCTTAACTTTTTGACCATGCGCAGAATCTGCTATAGTAAAACCAAATCCCATTGCTCCTTTTACTATAGCAATACTTAGAAATTCTGATTTGGAAGACACAGGAGAATCTTTACATTCATTAATTTCACTATTTTCTGATAAAAGAATATCTGTACTACTTGGTCTCTTAATTGTATTAATTTTGTCTGAAATGCAAAGGTCAGGCATAGAATTTACAGATGTTGTAGCAAGATTTTCACCATTCTGCAAATTATGTACTGGCAAAAATGTAGAATCTAGAAAATTGAAACGTGAATTTGATTGTAAAGGAGGTCCCAAATCCATGTACATGCTTGGTTCTTCGGTTAAAACATCTAAAAAAAATTTGTTAACATAAAAAATGTAATAATTATTAACTCCTAAATTAATTATTAATCCTATCTTTAATTTACCTGGTGCATTAACTGCTATCGTAGTAACAACTTCAGTATTTGGATCATTCGGATCAAATGGTAATGGATAACCTCTACATACTTCTAATGTAACAGTTTCACCACTCCCAATTGATTTAAATACATTTACCATTTCATTGTGAGTGAATCCCAAGACACATGTATTATTTACATATACCAATACATCACCTATAAAATAAAATTTGTTTTACTGCAATTATAACTTTTTATTGTAAACTATAATTTTACTAAAATATAAAAGATGTAAAATGTTTAAAATTAGTAAACTACAAAGTTATACCAGTTTGCAGCTTCCCATCCAACCATGCTGGACCATTTGGTACAACACTTTTTATTTGAAGAAATTCTTCCACAGTATCATCACCACCAACTATAGTAAAACCTAACCCTCTCGCACTTTTTATCAAAGTAGTTCTTATTCTTTGACCCTTTAATTTGTCTGGATTTCTTGTAAAATTTGGACTCTTTCTATCAATTAAATTCTGTTGTGCTCGTTTTGCTTGCAGAACCGGATTTTCATATTGTGTCCTACGATTTACATGATCAATAAAATATGTCCCATAAAGAGTATCATCTATTTTTTCCCATCCATATGGTAATTCATCATCTAAACATTCTTCTAAAGATCTTTTTTGAAATTTTGACAATCTTGGATCCAGCCAATGAGATGTTCCTGTATTATGGCTAGAACGTATTAAAAAATATATACATTTTTTATATATTTCTCTATTTCCCAACTTAATTAATCAGTAGTCTATATATACATACTCTATAAAATACACTTCTCCAGTATCTGTAAAAGCTTTTTCCCAATTTGGTGGCAAAGGTCCAAGTTGATCTTCAGTAGCTTGATTACGATTAATTCCACCTTGTTCTTGATCCAAGCTACCAGTACTTTGTTCAGATCCTGTATTATACATATATGTTGGTGGGATACGGTGATTCCTTTCATCATTACTACTAAGAGTTAATATTTCCTTGTCCATACTTTCTCCTTTAAAAATCAAAAAATATGATAAATCTTTTTATTTAATTTAATTAATAAAATTAAATAAACAATCATTTACAACTTATTTATTTACCATCATTTGGATTGTCAACGGATGCTGCATCATCTGTTTTTGTAGCCATTTTACAAGGCTATTTAATACCTCCTCAGAACCCTAAGGTGATACATTATATATTTAGTGATATAAAATTTATAAAATAACTCTTAAATATAAATATATATATATATATATATCGCATAATTAATAAAGAACACACGAGAGTGATCAAGGAATATACAAAAATAGAACAGATCTTTCTTTCTTCTTAGGCCTGTCAAGCGCGTCAACGAAGACAACAATAGCCACTACAGTAATCGTCCGTCGTATGCATTACTCGAATCTTATCGTATTACAGATTCATCATGTTTATCACGACAACGCATATATATATATACGTATATAATTGTAATCTTAGCATATACACACCCTACTTCTCGAGGACAAATTTAAAAATGATGTAGTCGAATTAAATTTGTAGTGATGACTTCGTAAAAGCAATGCGCGATATTTGAGAAATGAAACTGTAAATGTTGACACAAACGTTCCTGATAAGAGAGAACATCGAGCGTCCTACATCTTCAGAAGACAGGTGTCTCTAGGAAAATTACATAAAGCAGAAAAGGAACGCGACATAGAGCGGACGTGAATGCATTCTTAGGAATGCATTCACCCAATACTCAGCGCAGCCCACATATCGCGCTTCATTGAATAGAACTTTCTATTCGTAAAGGAAACAACATAAGTATCTAATAGAAAAAGTATGTAAGTAAAAACGATAGATTTTACGGCATTACAGATTATAAGATCTGTAAAATTACGGAACTTATAAATTTTTAGAATAAAGACTAATTATATAGTTGTTCATGTAAGCCATAATAACGCTTATTATACATATATTCTTTGTAAAATGTTTTTTCTCTTGTCTTTATTAGACTCACGTTGCTTTTGCTGCCCGTACGTCCTTTCACGCGCAACCATCATGCTATCACCCCACGATGATTTCCCAGGCCGAGATGCGTCGGCACTGAATCACTCACATATCACGGAAATACTCATAGTTTCAAAAAGATATCGGTGAAATGAAACGCACTCATGCGATATACGATCACATGCGACACTATACGGCACTGCCATCAACTGCTATCGAATGCAACGAGGCATTTAACCGCGAACTAGTACATAGTGACTCTCAAATTTTTTTCTATTCAATTTGTTTCATTTATTTTTTCACTTCACTTATTTTATTCAAAAACAATTCGTTGATATATTTATCATAATAATATGTTTTATATATATATATACAATTTTATAATAGGAATTATAACATGTAAAGTGTATTATCTAAATATAAGAATCATATAAGAAAAATAAGGTTGATTATCGCTGAATTAACTAATCGAGGTATTGGCGCTAGTTTCGCTTTTTAATATGGGAAGCGCGTATAATGTATAAGCATTCAGATTTTAGATCGTTGAGATCATTTATTTGAATAATATTCTTGTCTATAAATTTTTACATAAAATATAACAATTTGTTTTTTATAAAAAAATATTACAATGTAACTGATATAACGATTGATATATGTTACATTATACAATATTATTAAAGCTGCAATTCTTTTTCATCTGGAAGTTTTTTAAATAATTGATCAATATGTTTATCTGTAATTTCATTTAAAGATTTTGGATTCCATATCGGATTTTGATGTTTAGTAATAAGTAAAGCTGTAACACCTTTAATAGAAGAAATGTTAGATAATCATAATATATTTTGTTTTATATACAATATGGAGACATATATATTAATCAATATGCTTACCTTCATGGAAGTCAGTATTTTTGTTCAAGTAGGTACAAATTAATCTAAATTCCATTTTTAAACATTCTCCTAAAGTAAGTTTACTGCCTTTTTCTATACTTTGTTTTGTAACTTTCAAAGATGTTGGAGACATTTTTAGCAGTGTTTGTACTGTTTTCTTTGCCCATTCAGAACCATCGTTATTTAATCTTAATAATAGAAAAGAAAATAAAAAAATATATCACGTAAAGGTACCAGAATAGATATAACTATTTTTTTTATACTTATTGATTATTTCTTCAACAGAAGATGAAGAAAAGCATTTTTCAATTTTGTCTATATATGGTGATAAAGAGAATTCATTCATTAAATGTTGAAGTTGATATTTACTTAAAATTTGTTCAATATCATCAGTGTCCAACTTTAATAAATCATCTTTTAAATCCTGAAGTCTTTTAGATGGGACATAATGTGTTGCAATACCAGCATGAAATACATCAATGCCTAAAAGCAAACTTTTTGTTTATTTATAATATTCATCATTTAAATTTTAAATTTCATTTCATTACCTTGCAATCTATGTCCTGTAAGACCCAAATAAAGACCTAATTTTCCTTTTAATCTAGAAAGAAAATAACTTCCTCCAACATCTGGGAACAATCCTATTGCAGTTTCAGGCATAGCAAATAAAGTATTTTCAGTTGCTATTCTGTATTTTCCATGTACTGATAAACCAACACCACCTCCCATTGTTATTCCATGTATCATTGCTATATAAGGCTTTTTATATGTACCAATTAAATAATTTAATCTATATCAAGATTTGACAGTTTCATAGAAGTATAAATTTGATAGTAAAAAAGATATCAGTCAACTTAAATGGATATAAAAGTTTCAACATACATGTATTCATCTCTAAAGAAGTTTTCTGCCAATGAACTCCCATTTGGTTTATTTAAAGCAGTAACTATGGCTTTTATATCTCCACCTGCACAAAATGCTTTATTTCCTGCACCTTCTATTATAACTAACTTTTTGGTAGATTCCCATTCCTTCAGAATAGGATATATCTTTTGTACCATAGAAAAATTTAATGCATTTAGTGCTTGTGGCCGATTCAGTGTTATTATACCCTTATCTCTTACCTACATATAAAGCAATGTTTATATAAACTATTATATATATTAAATATATATTTGTTTCTAAACTTACATCTTGAATAAGGACTTCATCATTATTGGTACTTGTATTCATCATTTTGTTATTTCTTATATCTTCATTAGGTACTGGAATTTCAGTAGGTGGTTTAGAATCCGGTTGAATTTTAGGAAGGATAGGTTCAATTATAGGACCTAACATGATTCAAGATATGACTATGGTCTTATGAAAATTCTTTATTACGTACATATAATGTAATTATTAATATCAATATATAGATTCTAGAAAACCTGGTATTTCTATGATTATAGATTGCTTAGATGGCCCTTTTGGGGATTGGATAGGTGGTTCCTGATCAGGTAAAATTACTGGTTTGGGATGTGGAGTACTTGAATCAAATATTTGATTTTTACCTGAATTATCACGTACTAATAATTGCCTAACACGATTACGTGTGGTAAATACTCCGTACTTAAACTTGTTCATAGAATTTTTAAACTGTTTCAAAATAGAGATATGATTAAATTTTATAATTACTTATATTCTATTAAAATTTAAATTTTAGTTACCATTTTTCCTTATGATGTAATATAAATGTGGTAAATGCAACTTGTTGATTTGTCGAGTCACTTGTGAAAGAGGTTAAAAATATTTCATATTTATATCACATGCATTCAAATTACTATGTGAATATAGTATATAAATCTATATTAGTGTGTCATAAGTAATTATATATATGATTAAAAAAAATTATTAAATATGAGGTTATTTAACTTTCTTAATAAATTCAGTTCTTAAAACGCGTGTGACGTAAATAATTTTACTCGCAGTTGCTCGCAATATCATTCATGTGCATTCTACTTATTATTTATTAAAATTAAAATTATTATTTATTAATTTATAAAATGAATAAAAATATGTAAGATATATTTGTCATTGCCATTACAAAAATATTATATAATAATAATACAGAAGTATAAAAGAAAAATTATTTTATATTAAAATTATTGTAGATGTTCACTGTATATATATTTATAATTAATGGATGTAAATTTATGAAATAATAATATAATTATAAATTTTCACATCAATTATTGTCGTGAATTGTATTATTAACATACAAATAATATTAATAGCAATTTAGTAATACAGATTTATGGGAAAACCGTGTTTTGAAATTCCCTCCCAATGTAATTTTTTTGTACAAGATAGTACATACATACGACATGATGTAACTTGATGTAATTTTTTTGCCTCGTATGAAACGTTACGTAGGAAATTCGTGTGAGAGGACTGCTAAATTGTGATATTGATTTGCCTTTAATTTTTAAGTTTTTTTTTGTATTATACAGGAAATTTTTATAGAAAATTCTATTTAAAATATTTTCAATTGTAGGAAAGTATTATTTATATATATATATATATATATATATATATATATATATATATATATACATTAATTTTGTATTTCATTAAACTATTGCAAATATAAGAAAAATTTTTACTGGAATACTTAATAATGGATCATCGAATATATAAAATTTACAATCAAGAAGACTTTAATCGAATTACGAAAGGCATCAAAGTGGCACAATGTATGCAATCACGATCATCATCTGGTACGTATATCTAATCATTTTGCAATTGCTATTATTTACTGTTATGAAATTAATTCTTTGTTAAAACATCTGGCATTATAAATTAACAGTTTTACATATTGTCAAATTATGTAAAATAAATGTTTGATGCAATATATAAACATGACTTTATTATATTTAATAAAGTTTATATTTAATAAATATTTATTATATTTAATAAAAAAACGTAATGATGATATCTATTCATATATATAATTATTTTTTGTTGATTTTGTAATATAGATATTTATTATTTATTAATATATTATTACTTTCATTTATATCCATGAATTCTTGATGTATTAATTATACATTTTTATACACACTTTAATTATAAATGATGTTATAGTTTCAGAAACAGAAAATGTATTAACTCAACTTGAGGAATTAGTTGTATCAGATTCCTTAAGCTGTTCTTTTTGTAATACTATATTTGAGGATAAAAAACACCAGAGATTACATTATAAACTAGATTGGCATCGTTATAATCTTAAACAACGTTTAAATGGTCTGAAGTCAATTAGTGAAGATAATTTCAATCTTTTAGCGGATGAAGGTATTCTCATTTTAATTTTAAATTGTCCATATTTATGAAAGGTATTTTTATACATATTATATATTATATGTATTGTAACAGGTGATGTATCCAGCCTTTCTGGTAGTGAAGAAGATTCTGACAATGAAGATGATACAGGTACTTCTGAAACGGGAGGGTCATCAAGTCCGTATACGAAAAATAGTGAATCTATAAGTAAGAATGAAAGTTCATCTATTGCAAAAAGTAAAAAACAGGAAAAGAAAGGAAAATCTGCAGAATTAGTATCTGATAGTTCAGATACAGAATGTAATGAAGAAATATCTAGAGAGAAAAAACTTCAAGAATTACTTGCTATTGCTAATCGTCATTCCAAAGTATTTTTTGAAAATGATGATGGAAATATATTTAGTATATATAGGTGCTTACTTCATAATAAAAAGGTTTGTTAGTTATTTATAAAATTATCATACAAAGTATAGATTTAAGTTAATACATATAATTTTGCATGTACAAATGCAAAAATTATGTCTTGTAACTTGATCCACTTTGTTAGAATCACTTGGCGTGTCTATACTTGCCAGATCAGGAGAGATGCACTTACGTTTTAGGAAATTCCTGAGATGGACAATCAGATGATAGCTCAAGCATTGAATAGCGGGAAGAAAACATCATGGACCATTATCATGGTTGGAGGTGGACATTTTGCAGCAGCAGTATTTCAAGGTTTCTATCCAATTATGTAATATACATATACATAATTCTACAATATACATATGTAAAAGCACACAGTAAGAGGTTACCCAGTGGTAGGAATTTTTAAATATTTATATTTTTTAATTATTATGCTGTTGTACTTTCTTTTTATTTTTAGGTTGGGACGTTGATATTTATGATGCAGTATTTAAAATAAATATTTAATTATTTTTATTCTTTTTAAGTCTGTAAAAATATAATAAAGTTAATCTAAATAAAAAATAATCTAAAGGGAAAAATATAATAGGTCATCTTCAATGGAAATGGGATTTAAATTTTGTATTTTAATTTTGCAAATTTCAGATGGAGAACCAATAGTGCATAAAACCTTTCATTCTTATACTGTTAGAGCAAAGCAGGGTACTGCACAAACTTCTCGTGACAGTCGTACATTGGGTAATCATACAAAAAGTGCTGGATCAAGTTTGCGTCGCTATAACGAAGTATCTCTCATACAGGTTTGTGAAAAATAAATTTTAGATATAATACTTTATTATACCTAAATTCATTTTTATGAATATATTCATATATGATTTAGCATGTGCAAGAAATATTGGAATTATGGACGAGTCATATCAACAATTCATCATTAATTTTATATAGAGCTGTGGGACCACGTAATCGTACTATACTTTTTGGTGGTAAAAATCCACCTTTAAATAAAAGTGATTCCAGATTAAGACCATTACCGTTTCCTACCCGAAGAGCTACATTCAGCGAAGTTAAGCGTGTATATGATATACTAAGTACAATGGAAATATATGGTAAATATTTATATTAGTTTTCATAGTAAATTTCATAATACAATCTCTTAAATATCAATATACATTTAGGTTCTGCAGCAGATTTTACTGATTGTTTCCCTATTTCACCACGACAACCACCACGAAAGAAGATTTCCAAATATGATTTATTAGTTGAAGTAGCAGAAGGAGAAATAACTTCTGCAAGTTCTAATGTTAATATCACGAATGATATAAATAGGCTTAAAAATAATGAAAAATTTAAAACAATGCAAGCATCTCCAGAAAAGCAACATAGGAATTCTCGCGCACACATTGATAGAGCAAAACCACGTAAAAGTCCATGTCGTCCTTTGCCTGGTATTTTATTTTGTTATCATTAAGTAATAACTCATAATTACTATAAAATATAATATATAACAATAATAAAAAATTTCTAATTTTTGTATTTCAGATATTGTTATCAAATTGGCTTTAACATCTACAGAGTCTGAAACCAATGAAAACAATAGTTGCACTAATAATCAAGTAGATATGCCTCTAATTGAACATAATATGGAAATTGATTTTAGAGAAAATTTACTCGCTTTTCAAAATAATGTACCACGATATATGAAAAATAAGAAAGCTCGTAAACAAAAGAAAAAAGTGAAAAAAAATCACACAGATGGTAGTGTACTATTTACAATAAGTACATTTAATAACATACATTTGTCTAAATATAACATGCTTTTACGTGTAGAAAATATTTTAGTTATTCTATGCAAAAAATTTATAAAGCGATTTATATATTATGTAATAAAAAATGTTTCTATGTGAAACATTAATTTTTTTTAGAGTCTGCAGTAAATGAAGTATTACATAATGCTAAAGATCAATTATGGACTGCATGTGAATTGGGTGATAATGAATTATTAACTTCTACAATAGATATTTTATTAAGTGAAGTTAAAAAATTCGAATCGTTAGAGGAAGAAAGCGAGGTAGATACTCAGACATTTTTAAGTATGGAAAATGTGATAAAATTGTTAAATGATGGAAATGAAGATGGTAACACAATGCTTCATTTAGCAGCAGTTGGAGGACATTTAAAATTAATATGGTAATATATTTCAAAAATATTTGTGAATAAATGTAGATAATAAACCTTTTTTACATCATAGGAAATTTCAAAATCTATAATATTAAGTGTTAAGGATTTTTTTATAATTATAGGACATTATTAGAAATTGGTTCAAATCCTTGTAATAAAAATAAGAAATTACAAACACCTTATTCAGCTTCAAAAGATAAAGAAACTAGAAATACGTTTAGAAGATTTATGGGTACTTATCCTGATAAGTTCAATTATAGTAAGGTATTTTCTTTTTTAAGTTATTAAATAGTTCTAAATATTTACACACACAAATTAGTCAAATATTTTTTCACGACATATTGTTTTATGTTAGTCACAAATACCTGGACCACTTACCGATGAAATAGAACAAGAAGAAACGGAAAGAAAGAGACAACAAAGAAAAGTGAAACGTGAGAAAGAAAAAATAAAAAAACGAGAATTTGAGGTAAAGAAGCAAGAGGAAGAGGCGAAGCAACGATTTTTAAATTTGAATGATAAGGAAAAGGTACATTTTTTGAAATATTAAAAATGAAAATATGAAAATAAACAAATTATTGTTCTTTTTTTATAGAGGGCATTAGTCGCAGAAAATGTTTCAAAAGAAAATCGTACTGTCCGATGTTTCCAATGTGCTGTGGACATTACAAATCAGGTGCCTTTTAGTTACAGCTCAAATTATTTTTGCTCTATGCCTTGTTTAAAAGAACATCGCCTTCATAACAAACATATTCTCTAATGAAATATATGTTCAGAATAAATTTTATATGAATTGAAACATACGATAAAATAATATAGTTACGTGCTTTAATTATATAGTTAAACAAATATTTTAAGTAATTGATAGAAATAATTCATTACATAAATAAATAAACAAAATGTGTTATGCATATATTAAATATTAATTTTTAATTTAGTTCAATATAGAAAATAATTCAAATAAAATTTAATTTTCTATTTATTTGTCATTTGCTGCGCTTCTATGTGTATTATAACTTATGATGTATTTACTATATCATATTTTGTAATTCTTATATTTTGCATAATAATCTTTATTGACATATATAC